GATAGTCTCGAGCGACCGCTGCACCGTAGCTGAAATTGATTGTTGGAATGCTTTGCAGATATCTCCGTACATAAAATAATAACGGGAAGCAAGGTTGATCGTAAATTTAATTGATTTGTGCAAATAATGGTTTAATTAGCGTAATATAGGGCTTAGCGAATGATTATGCTATAGTGATGACTAATTTATTTGCGTGCATAAACAGCTAACAGTGAATAGCGAGAAGTGAATTTACTTGCATTGAGGAGTTAAGCTCAAATTTTTGCGTAGCTATGTACATATGTATGCTTACGTTTAAAGAAATAGGTTCAGCTATTTAAATTCTAACTATTTAACAGTGGCTACTAACTAATTAAATGCTAGTGAAGACTTTCAAGTCGTAAAATAGGCGCAATGAATGCAAATTATAGGCGGCTTGAAAAATAGCACTGATTACTTAGCAAATGATGCGGCGAAATAATAGTAAGAAATAATAGAAAATTAGCTGATAGGTAAGCAAATAGGTGTAAATAGGTGATTTTAACTCGTTAGGTATGTAGATTGTAGGTAGGTTTAACTAGGTAATTCTTTTAGGATTGTTTTAATAGGTATTTTATTTGGTAGGATTATTGAGTAGGAATAGTTTATTTAGATTAGCAGTTTTATTTACGAAAGGGTATAAGATAGACAAGGAATATAAAGGATGTTGCTTAAGAATAGGTAGGTAGGGTAAGGCAACAAAAAATAGGACTAGATTCCTTGTTTCCCTGTTCACACAAATAGAATTTTTAGGAATAGTGGGACACGAAGAGGTAAAATAATAGGAACGGGCTCACTTTTAGTTGGCAAAAACCGCTGATGTGGCGCGTAGACTCCGCTGGACCTCAGCTTGGCCGGTTCTCAATAGCTGTCCTCTTGTCTTTTCTCCGCTCCAGATGAATTCTTCTTGACCGCTTTGTTGTTCTTAGGACTCGGGATGGTACGCCAATTTAATAATCTTCTTAGCTGATGTAGTAGATCGGCGTGGCTTCCTTTGTTCTCGTAGCTCGTAGTACTTGCGTTCGCGACGTTGTAAACGCGGGGTAAGTGCTACGACCTTTGGACCGTATTACGCGGCGAAATCGGAATTCGATGTTTTAATTTATCACGGTCGCCACTATGTACAGTTTAGGAATAGTGGGACAAAATAGGCGACTCACACGATAGGCAAATTGTATATTTAAAAGGAATGAAAAATACAAAATATTTGGTGGCGATCGGGTCGCGAGCTATCGGCGAGTGCCGGTCTTAGGCGCGGTGGTGAGAAACCCCCCGCACTTCACATACTCCCCGCAAACACCGTCGGTGCTGTCGTAACGGCGCCGACAGGTAACACCTTCCTAATTATCATTGTTTCACAGCAGATCATCTCGGTAAGAATTCCAGTATATAGTGAAGCAGTAGTCTTTTTTTTATTGTAAATTTTCTAATATGGTAGGTATTGCCATATTAGAAAATTTAATCTTTGTTTAATGTGTTTTAGCACAGAATAAATATTTGGTTTCAGGTACAAGTATATCCTTATACCATTATAGAACATTACTTTACATTATTTACTTGCGATTTCTACGATTAGATTAAAATTAACTTAATCACTCAACATCACTATTGAACAATTTTCGTTGAAAACACTTCAAAGTAATGGTAATCCTATATTTTGATAAATTTAGCCGATTTTGATAAAACAAAGGCAAAATTTTACAACTTAACATTACTCGAAGATACGCTGTATGATTTTCATAACGATTCTTTTGAAAAATATTAGTACTTTATGATACGTTCATAAACAATCAGACAGGGAGACAGGCATTCTCAAAATGATATTAATAGATAATTATTTAATTAATCAATAATTTTCTTCACAAAAATATAAGATCAGTAGGATCAGAGACCTGCAATTTACATTTTTATTGAAGTGAAAACTTCTTTAACATCGTTGTGATTTGAAGTATGGGTATGCAGACGTTTTCCCCATCGGTTGTCGGTTCCTCGAGCTACATAGCCGGCCCATTGCCGCTTCAGCTTACTAATCGTAATATATACGTAAATACTATATTCTACGAAAATATAGAACTTTCCTCCATCTACAAAAAATCCACGATAACATAGGCTTATTTCTTATACATAATAAAGGTACTTTGTGACAAAAATATTCAAAATTAAAAAGTGATTCATGCGCGTTATTATTACGCATAGCATATTAATCCTTACGAACGAAAGTTACTCATCATCAAAATTATTTTATGAAGATAAACTTTGCTGTTTATAGCCTTTATAAAATATGTTTATAGTTTAAAAAAAATAATGAAAAATTAAAATAATTCAACACGACTCGGCGCGCGAACGACACCTAGCCACCCGACACCTGGAACCGAGACCGCGGCTCAGAGCGTGATATAAGGTACGTTGGGGTAAGATCGGTGATGGGGCAAGACCGTAGGATTCAAATTCCCGGCGAATTATGCTATATTTTGAAAAGTTAACAATATGCTACACGACGCCATTTCATCCTGCCCCGACCCTCAGTTCGTGCCAGTCACTCCGGCAAGTGGGACCTGTGCTGCGTGGCATTTTATAAAACAATGTAATTTTTGTATTATTTTTGTCCATCCGATCTTTCCCTATCACTTTTATTTACGATTTTTAGGGAGAATATGGCTTCTTTTGTTATTATTTTGTGTGGATACTAATTTTTATGAAGTTATAGCTAAATAAAGCTGGTCCATGCAGGGCTAAGATCGCTGTAGGCCGAGATCCGATGTTTCCCCTCGTGAGTGAAGATCGGATGAATATTATCCGATCTTTGCCTGTTACAAATATGGCAGTGGTTGTTAAACTTTCATTGGTCGTGTATATTTTTTCGTTGATTACTCAAGTGACTATGGGACTCAGTCTCGTTAGCAAGTCTGTATATTTAAAAGTAATAAAACAATACGATGGTTTCATTACTTTTAAGTACACATTAAAATACATTTTTTTTATAGGATAAGGGTGACAAAGGAGCACACAGTCCACCTGATGTTAAGTGATTGCTGCGGCCCATAGACATATATATCTATCCTCTATTACAAATCAAAATGTAATTTATAATAATTATTTAAAAAATAATTTATAATAATAAATGCCGCTTTGTTAAAATATTTATATCTTCCTTAACTCCTGCATTATCCCAGGGCATTTCGCCAGTTCTTACTGTTATTTTTTTTCCCATATAAAATCAAATGCATCCGATCTTTCTCTTATATTGAGTAATTCCATCTTATGTCATAACAAAGTTTGAGAAACATAAAATTACAATTTCTTTATATCAGGGATAAGATCGGATGGCAAGAAACAAAAAAAGAGAAAATCGTTTGGAACATTTATGTTTCTAGTAATTTATAGATCATATTGAAATATGTTTTTGAGCGTTAAATATAGAACAAATCTCTTTTATAAACTTTTTTCTCTAAGCAGTAGAAGTGGTTTTAAATTTAAGTCTGGTCTTACCGCTTAATGGCCAATTTTTCATTATGCATATAAAAAAGTATGTCTAGTTTTCGCACACCTTTAAATCAGAAACCGTTGAGTTTACACAAGCAAAAGATTCTCAGAGCTAAACTACGTTTAACAATTAACGGTTTGCTCCATGTTCCATAAATGTGACGTATACGAATGTCGAGAAATTAAAGTTTTTGGCAGACTCTTCCAACTTTTCGAAAATCCGTCCGGTATTACCCCAACGTACCGCGGGTGATACCGCAGGAAACAGCTAGTTGAGTATAAAGTATTTCCTATTATCTCGGTCTCCTCTGCGTGCGGTGCTTTAAAGATGGTTAATATAACTTTTAACTGTTAAAATAAAAATGTATTAAGTATCAAATAAATAAAATTAATTATATTGAATAAAATTATCATATCCAAACCATTCTTAACAATCCACGATTTCATATCTTACCGATTTATATTAAATTAGTCGTGTTTAGATCATCTATTGTCTATTTTACGTACCACCTTGAGAATAAATATTTTTTTTTTCTATAAAATTATTTTAACTATAGAATGAAAGTAGACGTGGTTATTGAAAAGCAATTTTAGTCAAAAGAAATTTTTTTTTCTGCCGACTTCCAAAAAGGATACGGTACTCAATTCGACGCGTATGTTTTTTTTTATGTGTGTTACCTCATAACTTTTTACTGGGTGAACCGATTTCGATAATTCTTTTTTTATATGAAAGCTGATAGATAGTTCTCGTGTGGTCCCATATGAATTTGATCAAGGTCAGACCAATAGTTTTTGAGTTATTCTTAAATAACTTATATTAAAGTCGGCTGTACAAAATTTTTAATTTTAAATTATTGATCTAATACACTAAAATATAGGCTCTCTATATCTAAAAATAAGGATTGTAACATTTATTTGCCACTAGCTGATACCCGCGATACATCACTGAAAACGTAGTGCTTATAAAAATAGTTGTTTCTTAAAACTTTAATAACTTAATATTAAATGAAGATATCGCAATATTTTTTTTTAGATGAGGGCCTAGTGTCTAAGAAATAAAACTTAGAAAAACTAATTGAAATCTATCAGTTATACTATCATATTTCGTTTTTCCGTGACGCGCGCAAAACTGCAAACCTCTATAATTTTATTTATATAGATTAAATTAAACTTTAAAATTACATATTTTATGCCGCACTTGTAGTTGAAAATTATCAAATTAAATTAATAATTTGCTGTGAAATGTTTTTGTTTTATATTTCATTTCGTTTGAAAGTTTACACTTCTAACGCGTGTGAAAGGCACACGTTTTTGTATATGTAGGTATGTAGATAGATTATTCTATTTGTTTGCTGGACGTAACGTAGCGGTAACGGCGGTTTTGCTCTAAATATTTTAAATATTGAGAAAACAGGAATACGTTGGATATGGACTAAACGCCGCCCGGATACCCTCTAGTAGTAAAAGGATGTATTTAAATTCGAAACTTTTTTTCCCAGAAAATGATGTCCGCCTCTCAGAGCGCATGCTTGCTAACCCGCTGGCTAGTGCGTGGCAGAACAGTGGCAAGTTCGAAGGTGACATCTTGTTGGACGACTGGCAGGTGGAGGGTATAGTGCAGGAGTTCGCTGCCGGCAGGAATGCATACGTCTGGCCAAATACCAACTGGCCAAATAACACCATTGTTTACGAGTTTGCTCCGGGTGACTTCAGTAAGTGGTTTCTTACACCAGTAGCCTAGCCAACTCCAACGCCATGTATAGGATTATATTTGATAGGATTTATTTTCAGATTATTATTTGCATTCATGGCCTACCTTCCTTCTTCCTTAGCAGTGTTACGTGGGTTCAATGTACGATCGTTTATATAGGTGCGTTGGGGGTCTTTTTATGTCTTGGTCTCTGTGGCTTGATACAAAGATTTTTTTTTATATAATAAAGGTGACAAACTAGCACACGGTTCACCTGATGGTAAGTGGATGCTGTGGCCCATAGACATCTAGATCTATCCTCGATTAAGAATCAAAAAAAAAGATGCGCTGCCACCCTTGAGGACTGAGATGGAATGGCTCGTTTCCAGTAAAAAGGGTCAATGGTTCTTTACACTCACCATACGAAACACAGCAGCAGCATTGTGCCGCTATTTCACGCTGGTATTCTGTGAGAGCTTAGTCCTACCTCGGTCGAGCCGAACTATTTCGGCTGCAACCACAATATAGCTACAGTATAGCTCTACCACGTAAAAAATTAAACTATATTAACAAATGAATACGATATGCTAGGTGGTAGAACTCTTTTTCTGCCTAGAAGCTCGTCTGGTTAGCTACAACACAGATAGGGGTGCTTGCCGTCCGTCCGGCCGGTCCGTCTGAAGGATATAGATAACCAGTGTAATTACAAGCAGTGAGCAATTCCACCTTAGTCCTCAGAGCGTAACAACGCATGTCCTTCGTTTGAAGCTTGCTACAGATGTTAATGTACTGCAGTAGTCTCTAATGGCGCGTCTCCACCAAAAATGTTGACAACATTTATGTTTCCAACTGTTGGGAAATCAACAAAAGTTGACGACATTTGTTTCCGAAAATGTTTCAAAATGTTGCAAGAAGCGTTTCCACCGAGGGAACAAATGTCGGCAACAAACGTATTCCTTTGATGTTGCCGCCGAAAATGGAAACACGATTCCCGACATTGTTTCGTTTTGTTGCTAAAACTAGGTGATTACAGAAACATTTGTTGACAAAACGTGTTGACAAATGTTGTGTTGGCAACAAAACTTTGGTGGAGACGCGCCATTACAATGCGGTAGACAGTAAGTTCGTTTGTCACGTCTGGGTTCAAGGAAAGCCTCCCGCTTCCCTTACCTCCTTGCGGAAATGTATAGTTTACGAGTAATATTTTTTTTTGTAAAATCATAACTTCACTATTATACACAGGAATATTGATTCAAAGGTACTTCAGAGCGAGAGCAGCCCACGCCTTTGCGCAGCAAATCACAGGCATCCATGCTCACTCCGCAGCTTCGGCTTTTCTTCTTTCGACATTTCGTAATTTGCTACAGTGGGCGTGGGCTGCTCTCCCTCCGCGCCTACGGCTTTACAAACAAATTCTAGGACTAGGGCAGACAAGGGTCGGGACGTTATGATTCGGGTTTAGTACAGATTCGACCTATCTTATCTATAAAGTCAGGTTACCCTAAACTCTGCTATGATTTGTATTTGCTTCATGGTTATGATAGTGGTAAACGAAACAATGTAATGTAAATTGTTCTAATTTTATTTTCTGAAAAACCTCTTGACTGCTTTCCACTGCGACTTAATTCGTTGTGTATGAGTCCCATCTTCAGCCAAGTTAATTACAATACAAAAAACAATCCTTGTCTGGGTCCGAGTAATTAACTTTTTTATGGGTAAACGGTGAAATTTATTTTTGTCGCAATTAATTCAAACACACATTTCCGAAATTCAAAAACAGTTTAAAAAGTTCAAGCTTAATCCTGACAAACCTCTTAAACTAAAAACATAATTAAAATCAAGTACTCGACGTGTACTTCATAATACTTAACCATATTTGCATTTCGTTATAAGCAATTTTTAGTAAAATTTGTTTTATCGTGTTTCGTTATACGCAATGTTTAGTGAAATTTATTTTTATCGTAATAAATTCAAAACGCATTTCCGACATACAAAAACAGTGTAAAAAGCTGGAAGCTTAACCCTGACAAGCCTCCTAAACTGAATACATAATTAAAATCATGTACCGGACGTCTATATCTATAGCCAACCCAAAAAAGCGACTGCTGTAAAATATAGGTACTCTATTTGCAAATCTATGCAGTATATAAATAAAATTGAAGTGTCTGTTTGTAATATTACATAATACTAATTAGACGACTCCGTGACGCAGTGGCATAACATAGAGTTGCGTGTCGTGTTCAGTACGGTGTTCAAGACCCGCACGGAACAAGTATTTGTATGGCTTACAAGTAGGAAATTGTCCCGGGTCTGGGTGTTTGTCCTTGTATGATTTATGTTTGCAAAATGCCTTTCACAATACGGGAAAAAAAGTGAGGGTTATGGTTTAAAAAATAATAATATAGAAATAACTGGCTGTTAAGCTCAGGAGATTATTTGCATGGAATTAAGACACGACATCATCATTCATCATTACAGCCTTTCATAAGTCCACTGCTGAACATAGGCCTCCCCCAAGGAATGCCACAAAGCACGGTCCTAAGCCACCTGCATCCATCGACTTCCTGCATGTCTTACCAGGTCGTCACTCCATCTCGTGGGGGGTCGCCGCGTACACTCCGCCTACCGGTACGAGGCTGCCACTCAAGAACCTTTCTTCCCCATCGGTTGTCGGTTCTTCGAGCTATATGGCCGGCCCACTGCCACTTCAGCTTACTAATCTGTTGGGCTATGTCGGTTACTCTGGTTCTACTGCGGATATACTTATTTCTAAGTTTATCACGCAGAGAAACCCCGAGCATAGCCCTCTCCATAGCTCGCTGAGCGACCTTGAGCTTCCTCATACGTCCAACAGTGAAGGACCACGTCTCAGATTCGTAAGTCATCACTGGCAACACGCACTGGTTGTACAATTTCATTTTAAGGTTTTGAGGTATGTCTGACGAGAAGATGTGCCGTAATTTCCCGAACGCTGCCCAACCGAGTTGAATCCGTCGATGGACCTCTCGGTCGAAGTTGGACTTATATCGTCGGCAAATCGAAGGTGAGTGATGTAGTCGCCATTGATGTTAATACCGTATCCTTTCCAGTCCAGAAGCTTGAAAACGTCTTCCAATGCAGCGGTGAAGAGTTTCGGGGATATAACATCACCCTGTCTTACACCTCTCTGCAATTGGATAGGTTTCGTACTCTGGTTCTGTACTCGGATAGCCATTGTAGCTCTACTGTACAAACACTTCAGCACTTCGATATACCGACAGTCAACTTGGCATCGCTGAAGGGACTGCAGCACCGCCCAAATTTCGACGGAATCAAAGGCTTTCTCATAGTCCACATACGCCAGACATAGTGGCAAATTGTACTCCTCTGACTTCTGTACAATTTGCCAAAGGGTATGTATGTGGTCTATGGTGCTAAAGCCCTTTCGGAAACCGGCTTGTTCGGGAGGCTGGAAGTCGTCAAGCCTGCGCGCGAGACGATTCGTAAGGCGGTGGTCTCCTATAAACGCCATCGGCCGCTTACAGCGTCACGCCGTATGCCCCGTTACGATGCTTACTATAGAAATGTACTGTTGTGGTCTCTGTCACACGCTGATGTCGGCGTATAGACGTCGTAGGCGGCGTTCAGACGCTTTGCGCTGCGTCTCTAGTTATTTCGAACCATTACAGCGTCTAATGTCAGTACAAAATGGCAAAATTTAATAAAGAAAAAGACGAGGTATTGCTTGAGTCAATTAAATGTTATATTACGTTATACAATAAAAGTGACAAGGAACATAAAAATAACGTTTATAAACACCAATGTTGGAAAAAAAATTGTGAAGTAGTTGGATTGCCTGGTAAATTTTTATTTATTATTTTAGTAATTTTGCCACGTCAACCGGCCTTACGGTGAACATAATATGTCATAAGTTCATTGCGAATATTTACTGCTGACTTAATTTCTGCGTTCCCCGCTCGCCTGAGAGGTCGGAAAATTTTCATTGGTATGTTGGTTAAGTCGTTACTGGATTGGACGATTGTTTTTCCTAGTTATCAGCATATTATGTAAACAACATGCCGCTAAAATTAGGTAGTCTATGGTACCAGGTTCCACGTGAATTGGTGTATGAAAAACTCTGAAAACATTAGCCAAAATGCCAAATGCACTTTCGACAGTTATCAATAGCTGGAAACATCCTTCTTCATTTCTCTTCATAAATAATCGGTGCCTTGTTGCCTTTATTTTTCTTCGTATACGGTCGTATTGTGCCTCTTCTTCAAGTAACACAACCGCCGCCAAAAGTGTTGAATATATATCCATTTTATATACAAATAGTCACACACAATCACACGCGAGCACTGTCAGCTACTTACCTGTTGTGTGATCGAAAGTCGAGACTTCGTCCGCTGCTAAGATATGTATTGACCGCTGATGCTGTGCCTGGCGTTCAGACGCCGATCAAAACGTTTACGCTGAAGTTGGACGTCGCCTATAGCATTTAATAGGAGACCGTAGCCTAATGACTCTCGCAACGACACGACAACAATTTAAAAAAATGTCTATGTGTTTTTGTTGTCTTTCTGCCGCTATTTGGCGGCATGAAGAGGTAAAGAGAGTAACCTATCCAAACGGACTCCGAGGCAGGAAAGGAGTCTTACCATCTATTAGCTGTGCGTAGTCCGCTAGTCCTCATCCAGTAGTGTGTGGGTATGGTCTTATTAATACACCCTACAATTTTGAAATTTTAATTTTGGTGCTGTGGTATTTTCGGGGATAAGCGCCCGAGTAAATCGAATTCAATGCCCACCGACATCACTCTATTGTTATTTGAAATTTTAAATGCTAATTTATCACACACCATTGGCGAACTATGTATCGTCTGAGAAATTAAAATAAAAATAATTTCGAGTACGCAATGTTCTCTTAGTGCCCCAAAAATATTTCAGAGATGAGAAGAGCTTTGTATTCAGAAGTGGGGCATATAGATACTATTACTAATGTTAAAATTGTAACGTAAGTATGTACGTTTTAGAGAAGCGGCAACAACGAGCTATTTTGAAAGCTATGCGAGATATTGAGAAGAAGACCTGCCTTAAATTCCGTCAGAGAAGTCCCGGAGAGTTCAACTATGTGAAAATTACGGTAAGAAATATTTTTTTTAAATATTTAACAGTAATCCACACCTAACTCATATTGTCTTATGAGTAAAGTAGCGTGTAATGCTTATTGTTTTAGAATATGCATCGATTTATTGTAGCAATAGTTGTAAATCGTATGCGAGGGAAAGCACGTAAAAAAGAAAAAAAAAAGAACAATTTATTTGCTAAAACATACACAGGCCCCAAGAATAATAATAATACAAAGCCTAATAAATTATACTCAACCAATGTAAAAAGTGATAATCTGTTGTTAAAAACGATATTGAAATATCCACAAACATCCCGTCGCTTTATTTTTTATTTTTTGGGTGACATCAAAAAAGGCTCCTCCTTTTACAATTCAACTTTAGTTCCTTTTTCTTTGTTATACGATATCTTTATTGATTGTTATAACAATGTTTATATAAAAACTGGTCACATATAAATTTGGTGAAAAGTGGTCCCATATTATGCTATAATGGTGGTGAATGATTCACATTTGGGGAAAAATTTAACCCCTCACGATGGCTAAATATGGTGTTTATATGTAACTGACGATACGATACGATATTGAGATTGCGACATTCGTTAGACAACTTTTAGTAATAAGTAAAAGCCGACTTCAAATATCTCAAATGAATAAAATAACTTCACATATTGAAGTCACTTTATTTGCATTTTTCTTTACATATAAGTATTTTTTTATTTCTTATTATAAGCTAATGTTTGACTACACTCCTAGTAAGTGAACCTAGATCCTAGTCCCTAGATTACTGAACTGTGTTAGCATAACAAAACTAAATCATTTTGAAGACGCCATTATAATTGCATGAAAAGACAGGCGCCGGTAAATTATTCCACTCTATTGTGTTCACAGACTACTTAGTGGATACTACAATATGTTGTGTTCTTTGCTATTCGAATCACGAAAGGCGAAGTATGCCGTTTCATTTGAACGCGTGGAATGTCAAAAACGGAAAAGGAACCAAAGAGGCGAATATCCGTATAACTTACAACATAATCAGATTAAAAATTACAGTCGTATAATGAATTGTTTTTTTTTATATTCAGTCAGGTTATAATTTATTTAACGCATTATTTTTTTCTGACGATTGCAAAGGCAACACTAAATCATTTTATAATTTCAGAATAACAAAAGATTTTTAAATTACTTAAGCTTTTGAATCTTATACTCAATTTGAATTGGACTCTTAACATGTATTCAAGAAATGATACAAAGAGTAAAAATAAAAATCGATGTGTGCATTTTAAAAGTTGCTATTATTAGTTGTTGCTCTAAAGTTTTAATAATTTTAACCCTTTATAGGGCAGAACTTTTTGATGAATTTGAATTTTTGGTATTGGGATAGGGTTAGGGGTGTATAGGGACTGGAATTAGTGTGATATTCACTAGCTGATTTATTCGGGTTTGGCTAGTAGGGGGTGGTTCCATAAGAAACCAAGACCATTTAGGGAAAAATTTTGGTGGTTTTGTTTGAAACTGTAACCGTCTAGGGGAAACATTGTAAATAAAACCAAATCATAATCAAATTATTTTTATTAATTTGAAGTAACAATATTTTTGGTAACTATTGTTTTATCTTCAAAAAATCTTAAATTATTAATCAAAGTGACGAAGTGTACTATTAACACAAAAATTACTCCTTTATTGCATAGAACTGACAAAAAAATCTTTTAAATAATATAGGTAAAAAAGCTCTTCTAAAGAGATCTTCTATGAAAAACTACAACTATTTGTAAGTAACTTTTCATAGAATATCTATTATTATAATATATATTATTTATTTATTTATTAATTCTTTTATATAATATATCTTTTACCTGCACGGATAGCATGGGCTGGGGACAAAAAAATTATTCCCCGATTATATCCACTGACAAGAGATAAAATTATCTTGTCCTCATGCGAAACCACGGCAAGAAGAAGTATATCCGCGTTTGACATAACGAGTAGACGTATACCCTCCGTCCGTAGCAGGGAGCCAAATGAAAGATAAAAAATTATGCTTTTTGACATTTGAAAGGGACAATTTTATCCTAGTTCATTGGACGTGGGTTTAAGTTTATATTCATACAAAAAATCTATCTAAGTCTATCTCGCATTTTATCTACTGTAGATATTATATCCACCGGTGTGCCCATGCTCGAAGGGTGGATAAAACTAAGCGAGGGGATAAACATTTTCTCCTTTCCCCGGGGATAAAATTGTCTCCTGTCCATGCTAGCCGTGCTGTATGAAAAAAAACAGCCTCAGGACTCTAGTCTTACAAATCATAATTTTTAGGTTTCATAAGTTTTATAAATCGATAGCCTTATGAATAAAAATCTCACAAATCAACAATATAGGTAACTAACAGTCTTAGTTTTAGGGACCAGTAACAGCATAATCAGTCCTGCAGCGGCTAATCTCCATGACATGACGTTCAAAGGTAGATCATCTTCAGGGTCTGAGTCCCGTTCAATATCTGAATTTTTGGCTTGTACGTCATCTATGCCCTCGTTCAAACTGACTAGCTGATCGTAGGGCATGCTTTCTAAACCTAATACTGGTACAAACATCTAAACAAACAGAAAATACATAACTGTATCGATTCGGTTAGATTGCACCTAACGCACAAACCTCACCGGTCTCCATAAACAAAATTCTAAATAAACTAGTTAGTTTATTTAGAAAGTGATATAATTCTACTTTGCAAAACGTCCCAAATACGTGAAATAAACAAAAGAGAATCGGTTTTTACTACCTGTGAGCACAAACGTAACCACCAATATGTTGCACCTACCTTACCAAGGAAATGTAATTAACTTCACTTTGGTGGTTTCGCTTGTTGCTTGAGCCCGTTCAGGGACTACTCATTTAAACAATAAGAACGACTACCAATGCAAGCAATAATGGATTATGAGCCTTAGAGTCAACCTTGTCGGGTGGTTACAGTCGTCATACTAATTTCACTCTTGTCCTATAAATGGTAGTAATTCAACAAAGCGCAATACGCATTAAGTAAAGTGATTTACTTGTTATATACTATATACATTTCTAAGTGTCCACATTTGAGGATGTTTATCTGTAATATGACACACTTTACTGGGTAAATAGGTTTTCAAATCACTTCAAAAATTGTTTCAAAAATTGTTAATATCATGTCAGAAAATTGAACGTCACCAACACCAATACAATATTTCATAAATAGTGTACTATTAATCAACCTGTGCCCAAGTATCTAATATTTGAAAATATTCCAAAATAAAAATAGGTAGTTCTATGATTTAATGATTTTGTTTTGTAATTACATTTAGTAATTTTATATGAGGACAATTGAAAAATCAGCCTTAGTTACCTAATCACTTTAATACATTTATAGATATTTTGTTTTTCTCTCACGATAATTTATTGTTTTACACGATTTATAATAAAACTAGCACTTGAAGATCGCTTTTCGGATGGATGTCTCAAAATAAAAAAATGTCTTATCAAAATGCCAGGGTGCCGAAGACGGATGCTACGCCGATGTCGGTTACTGGCATAGGCGTGGTCCGCACATTCTCAACTTGGCCCGTGACCGCCCTGGCAGAGGTTGCTTTCTTTATACCACTATAATCCACGAGTGGTTCCACATCCTCGGCTTCTACCACATGCAGTCCACTTACAATCGTGACGACTATGTCCGCGTTATATGGGAAAATGTTGAACCAGGTTTGTTTTTCTAATATTGAAATAGCTGAAACCATAACTTTGTCCGCGTGAAATTCTATATCGAATCAAATTTACCCGCCTGTCTAGCGTAGCAAAGGTCCTGTCTTCGAGGCAATTTATGGAGAGGTTTACGTTCAACAGTGGTCTTTGACAAGCTTGCATATAATGTATGATAATTTTTATATCCCCCATCGATTGCCTCATATGCGATATTTGCCAAAGTTGCCATGCATGGCAGGCATGTTTTTTATTATTTTGAATTGTTGTTTTTTTTTAGGCTAAACTGCTGCCGTCCATGTCTTGTTTCTTTCCCCTCTGTCGCCTTTTGCAACATAGTGTAAAAGACGACAGAGGCTTTTACGTTTAAAGCACAGTGTAGTGTATACTTTTACGCCGTCAAATATTCTGAACTTTACAGGCATGGAGTTCAACTTCGAAAGCTACGAGTCAAATATCGTACAGAACTTGGACTTGCCGTATGATTACACAAGCTGCATGCACTACGGTCCCTACAGTTTTAGTGGCAACGGCAACCCTACTCTCGTACCACTGCGTGTAAGATTTGTATTTTTTTTTTTCAATTCAAAATAAATCTACAATTGTCTAGTCTAGTTTGTTTAGTTTCTACAAGCAGTATTCACGTTAGTATATAGAAAGTAGATATTAAAGAAAACTCTATTTTCAATTCGCAACAACAATTCGTCATGATCGTAGAATAATGACGGTTTTGAAAAAAACACAAAATTCACTTTTTACCATATTTAGATACTACATTGTCTAAATATTATAACTGCATTAAAGAAAAAATTATATGTATTTTCAATTACAAATTAATCAGTCGGTAAACAGACGGATTTGATAGGCACTCATAGAAAAATGACGCTTGTTTATACTCGTCTTTGTACGACGCGCAGGGATCTCTCGTCGCCACCTCCCGCTCCCGACGAATCCGCGCAATCGCCACTCTTCGTCGGACTCGCCCACGTGTTGCAGCGGATTAGATTTTTCTTCAAAATTACACTATTTTATCTTTGTTTGCCTGTTTGTTAGCTATTTCGTGCCTAGTTATTTTACATACCATGTTAAAAAGTGTGCCACAATGAAAACAGGACGATCAAAGCTTATGTTAAAACTTGTGGAAGAAACAAGCAAAAATGCACAAATTACCAATTTTACTCATGAAGAGTACATTGATGAAGAGGACTGCATAACATGGACTCCAGGTAAGTTAATGAATTGTGAATTAAAATTTTGGTATTATTTAATTCTAGTATTTATACAAATTTTGCAGACTAAATAATTAAAGAATCGGTTCTGACTGTCCGTCGGTTTTCTACGGAAAATATAAATCAATTTAAAATTTAATTTGTATAAAAATTATATTTGCTAGCTGATAGAACTACAATTATTCCGTTGAGTTTTTGTTATATTTGACAATTTGAATTTTTAAGTTGTATGTAACTATATTACATTTTTCTTTGGAGATGATAGTGTCGCGTAATCACAAACGATGATATTCTGTGGACACGCTTTTATATTTAACGGTCATATCTGACCATCCCACTTTGTTCTTAGAACTAAATTCACTTCCGCCTTTTTTCTATTGAAAAACAAAAATTTTTTTCTAAAAAAATAATCTGATCTGAGTGATAATTTACCTATATAAATAAAAACAAGTAAATTTTATTATTTTTATACATTCGAATATTTTTATCGTAAATAGTCTTACGGTTTTTTTTATATATGTTTTCACACATATAATTATCTATATATTTTCACATATAGTGATATCTTTTCAGAATGCCCTTCGCCATTACCCCTAGGAGCACACAACGTAATAGAAGAGATGAACGACATTTATTAGGATGTCTTTTCAGATGGCGTACACGGAACTAGCGAAATCATAAAATCAACAGATGAAAATATAAACACGAACATACCATAACCTAATTTTGTTCTTAGGGAAGATCCTTTTATGACCGTGTATCAAAATGCATCCTCACCATAAATACTCTCGTCAGAAAATCAGCGTGGTGTCGAGTCCCTCTTAAATATCAGCTCGGTATTAACCCCTTTAAATACCTCTACCTTGATATCAGATCTGTCACCTTTTCCTCAAACGATTACCCCGCCTGTTGACAACAAAATACAAACACCTATGCCATCACCAGCAAAAATCCATGGTGAAGTATGTAACGATTTTTTAGTCCCACTCACGATGTTGCAGTCTATAGCAACTGTCAATCAATCAGCACAGCTGTGTCTTCATGCCAGTCGTCTCCGGGGCCTCTTATTCGATGCAGAGGTAAAAAATTGTCCAAAATGATGATTAGGAAGAATTTAAAAGAAAACGCTTAACAGTTGAGAAAGCAGGAAAAGCATACTCCTCCAAAAAGGGTGTTATTGTTCCAGCAAAAACTATAAGTAGCATGTGCACGTGTAGATATAAATGTTACACTATGTTGACTCTAGAAGAAAGACAGGATGCGTTTAAAAAGTTTTGGAAGTAAGGTGATCATGAGAAACAATGGTTGCATGTTGCAAATTATACTACAGAACAGAAGAATAAAAGGGGGTCTTCACAGAGATTTAAAGCATAACCGTCAATTCACTTACAAGTATTTTTTGCCAAAGGGCTCATCAAAAATAGAGGTTTGTAAAACCTGTACCAACCATATCTTTACCAACCATATCGTATATAGTGAAATTATAACATGATAGCTTTCGCTTGTAATACAATACACTCATTTGCCCGTGAGGACACGACAAAACCTTCTCAAAATCAAAGGTAGCACAAACGATGCGTCCATTAGAATTAATAGAGTCATTTTTATCATTTTTTTTTCAAGGATCTAGATACTTTTTTGCTATTTAAATGGTTTTCATAATGTTCTCTAAGGTCGTGAAACGGATTTTGTGTTAGTTTAAAACAGTGGCACTGATCACAATTAGTATCCTTTTTGGGTATATGGAAACTCAAATTAATATCACTGTTAACTATGTCTCTGTACCGTCTAAGACTAGAAGCTGTATGTGAAAAATGATTAAGTTCAGGTCATTCTTTGTATAAATTGAACATCCGAGCGATGCTCAAGTCACCATCTAAATACAGTTTTTTGGACGCTGTTCCATTATAATGAGATTCTACCGGTACAAATGAAGTAACGTGGGCACAAACCGACCTTACCATTTCATCGTCAACAATCCGATTATGATTTTTATGTTTTTCCCTCATGTCTGTTTCTATTAAAGTGCTTTCGTCATATTTATCCCAAGCTGTCTGGACTAACCTTTCACTAATCGAATACATACTTACTACACTACTGTACTGTGGTGGTTTGACCCTTGTACTTCGAAAGGAGACTAGATATTACAATACTCCAATCTTACGTAAAGCATATGTGGGTCCATTTCCAATCAATAATGATAAATATAAGGATGTAATTAGTCTTTGCGATACCTCAATAATACCTATCAAATACCATAACTATTTTAGAAGTTTAACTCATGGGCGTAATGGTTCTTATGATAACAATTAATCTGACAAAATAATTGTGCAATATAATTGTTTTATACTTTTTGGTATTACTTATATTTTTAGTTGCTTAATTGTTACTAATTTTATCTCTGAAGTTGTGATTTTTAAGAATTTATTCATTTAATTAATGTTGTTACTACCAAGAAAGATTGTGATACTATAACTTTGCTAATATAATGATTTGAGTTTAAGTTTTAGATAGGTAATTTACCAAAAAAGAAGTAATCAGGTCAAAACATCTTTAAACATTATAATCTTCTTAGTCTATATAGTACAAAAATAATGTTTTTCATAATTACTTAATTCAAGATTAATATTTATTATATTGATTAAAAAAGAGTTTAAAGACCAGACCAAATATTCTTTTTATTTATAAGATACCTAATTCCAACCTACGATATCAACCTACCTACCTATTTACTTACCGACTACCTACCTACTTACTTACTCATGGTCAAATATAATATGACAGATAACACTTCCGCCAAAATATTACTCATTAAGTCGGTAGAACATGATTGGAAACTAACATCCGTCATTCTTTGAACAGTAACTTTCCGAAGTACAATGTCGGATAATACTATGTGACTGTGTTGACTCCAAAGTAAAATGAAGCATGTGATTTTTCTGGAAAACTGTATAATTTTAAGATGTTATTTCTATTCCAGTTTAAAACAAACCCTAATTTTAACGTGTATGCCAATTTTCATAATTACAGATTTAGAAGTAAAAAAGTTATGCCAAAAAATCTATCATAATTATTTCAAATGGCTGCCCTGTAAAGTTTGAATTTTGTCAGATCCGTCACTATTCTACGACTATGACGAATTGGAATTTTGTGAAGTGGTAGAGTCACGCTGCAGCTATGTTATAATTGTAGCACGAATGGTTCGGCTTGACGAAAATAGCAGCCTAATGCTGCTGTTTCGTATGGTGTAGAGATCTGGAAACTCTTTTTTACTAAAAACGAGACATTCCATATTAGGCCTCAGGGGTGACACACATTTGCATTTTGATTTTTAATCGGAGATAAATGGAGACACCTATGAGCAACAACATCCTTTTACCATCTGGTGGACCATGTGTGTTCGTTTTACACTATTATGCTATAAAAAAAAACTCTTTTCAATAACTATCGGTGAATAATTGTAGAGTATAGTAAGTACTCAAGTTAAGAATAGTGGTTTCGAAAAGTTAGAATGAAACTGTTTTTTGTTACTGAGACCGCTCTACTCTACCTAACGTAGGTCTTTAAACGCAGTTAGATGTGGGCCTCTCCAATTGTAGGAACCTTGCCTCCTGTCACTGGAATGGGTATCTGCGTATCCAACGGAGGTCACAAAGTCTTTTGGGCACTTCCCTCAATCACCTATTACGACATCCAAGTATATACACATGTAAGAGAAGAGCGGCTCGAATCGTCGACGTTTGAGTTTTTTCTGATCGATTAGATACACTGGCGCTGCGAAGTGATGTTGCGTCCCTTAGTATTTTCTATCACATTTACCACTGGAAGTGCTCTGTGGAAACTTTCGGATTAATTCCAACCACCGAATCCCACCAACACACATTGCGATTAAACTCACAATACCATCCACACTGTTACGGCCCACAGCTGCCCCTGCAAAGGTCTTCAGGCAGCAGGCTTCCCCGCTGGACCATTTCTTTCTTCATGTCACTATTTCAGTCTATTAACTTCATTGTACATTTAACTAACTTAAACTCGCCTAATTCCACATTCATCGTAGAATCTAACACGTGATATCCGACACAGTAACGGACAGTAGTTCAAAGTTCAACATTCAATGTCCCGGATTCATTTATCACCAAATTACAAATAGGGAACTAACGCGATCTCTTCATGAGTCACACGGTTCGGCGTTGAGCACAACTAAGTTCCTTCGTTCGATACTAAATACTACGCCGCGATAAGAATTCAAAATCCGCCTCGTTGACACGTAAAACGAACAAAACAGTCAACACACAAAAAAGGGCACTTAACGCGACGGCACAATTACTGTCAAAGAAGTTACTTTAATCAGTCAAACACAATACAAGCCTCTTGTCAAGAACTTAAACCCTAGACAACCTAAACCGAGGTGGTTTTCACGAAACACAATTACGCAGCGAAGTCACGCGCACAAATTCTAAAAATCGAGACCGTAAGACCCAAAATCGGTCGCGCGAAACCTCGGCAGCGGCAACCGAGGTATGCTAATTAACTGCATGGCTGCCAGCGAGCTACTACCAACTACTGTCTCGCGCGACAGCGCCAAAACGCTGGGGAGCCGCGTTCCCGCCACACGCGTGACGCCTGGCACTATCGGCCGATTCTCCAAGTCGAACGTGATTGGGTGCCGTCTCAAAATGACCATTTTTGGGCATAAACACAAACCATTTAATATGCTTGGCGGTCCACTACTGTACGATTTACTCGGAGATTTCTTTCTCGCATTACTAATTTGTGGAATCGTTTAGGCCCGGCGATTATCGACTTTCGATCAACAAACGAGCTTACAACATATGCACTTACATTATGCCTTTTTAAAAGGCCAGCAACGCACGTTTTAACGTGGTAGAGCCATGCTGCAGCTATATTAGTAGTATAGTTGTAGCACGAATGGGTCGGCTCGACCGAGGAAGGACCACGCTCTCACAGAAAACCAGCGTAAAATAGCAGCTGCTGTGTTTCGTATGGTGAGTGTAGAGAACCGGAGACCCTTTTTACTGGCAAAGAGGCATTCCATCTTAGTCCTCACGGGTGACAACGCATCTGCATCGTGAGTCTTTATTGATAGATGTAGATGTCTATGGGTCACAGTAACCACTTATCATCAGGTGGACTGTGTGCTCGTTTGTCACCCTATCCTATAAAAAAAAAACGCACTTGTGATTCCCTTGGTGTTGCAGTTGTTTGTGGTTGATACTTACTCTCTCTTTTATAATAAAACCTGATAGTAAATAGATGTTGTGGACCAAAGATTCGTTGTCATTCCTGTAAATTTAATAGAAAGACCTTGTGTAAATTTAATAGAAACAATGAAAGGGGTCTCCGGCTTTTGTAACACACTATACAAAATAGCAGCATTATGTTGCTATTTTACGCTAGATAATATTCTGAGGGAGAGAATTGTTTCCGTCACAGAATAACATATTCAATAAGACCCTAAATGAAATTATCGTTTTTATTTCTATTATTTCAGAGTTTCGAAGGCGAAATGGGCCAGGAAGACTACGTGACTGAATATGATTGGCTCAGGGTCAATAGACACTATAACTGTCCAGGTGCTTGGTCTACCGATGAACCTGAATTACATTCGGAACCAGTAGAGAATGAAACAGTAAAAGTTGTTGAAGAAGAAACTCCTCTAGATGTAGAAAATGATGCTTAATGTCACAAACCTTTAATTATGTGTCATATTACGTGAGCTATGGCAGATATTTAAAGGGAATAGAACCGCAGAATAGATTATAGTACAAGAAATAGAACCGACATTGACGAATGTCTTACATAAGCCGTGGTACTTTTTAATTACCTTTATAAATGGTCAAATTTTGCCTGTTTAGAATAAAATTTCTACCCAACTTACAGTAACAACATAAGATTTGTAATAAAAAAATAATTTATTTATTGTTTACCCTCGTTTCTCTTACATCATAAATATCAAACTGCGTTTTTTAGTTAAAATACTCTGTACCTACCTACGTAAAGTGCGACTGCAACATAAAGAATTTTAACAATAGCTTGTAACAATAGGGACAAACTCGAATGACACTATTATTGTATTTTAATGAAAAATTTCATAGCGATATCAATAAATATTTATAAATATTCCATCATTGTTTTGTCATATTTACCTTTTATTTTCAAGATGCAATTAACGTGATAAAAATCTAGCGACCTTGTTAGTAATAATAATAATAATAGTTATTTTTCAACCTTTTTTCAGACTAATAATTTCTTACACTATCAAACGAACACATCTCTAAAGCAAAAACAAGTGTGCAGTTCACACGCGGTAGAAGCAAAACCTTCAAATAAAATTAAAATGAAATATAAAACAAAAACATTTCACAGCAAATGAATTATTTAATTTGATAATTTGACAAGTGCGGCATAAAATATAAGATAAAAGTTTAATTTTATAGCAAATGAATGTAACAATCCTTATTTTTAGACACGTAGAGCCTTAATTTTAGTGTATTAAACCAAAGGAATATTTTTCGTTTGACTAAAATTGCTTTGTAATACCGACGTCTACTTTATTCTATACGTAAAATCATTTTATAGAATAAAAATTTATTGACTCTCAAGGTGATCCCTAAAATAAACACAAAATTACCTAAATACGACTAATTTAATATACTCGTAAATCGGTAAAATATGTAATCGTGGATTGTTAAGAACGGTTTGGTTATGATTTTTTTATTAAATTTAAAATAAAAAATTAATTTTATTTATTTGATAATAAATATGCAAGCTTTTTAGTTCTTTATTTTAACACTTAAATATATATTAACCATCTTTAAAGCACCGCACACAGAGGAGACCGAGATAATAGGAATCACTTTATACTGAACTAGCTGTACCCCGCGGTTTCACCCGCGTAAATCACGCATCTGCGCCTCGCGACATGCGAACTTCGAAAGAGACATCACTAAGGACAGTTGATGAATTAAAAAAGATTTAAAAAGTGAAAAATGTTGCATAAATTACATGGTTAACGTAATTGGTGGTTATGCATGGTGCAGGTACTGATATAGCCTTGAATACGAACTGATTTATTTGGATATAAAGACTAATACCTAGGTACGAATAATGTGGCCTAGTTTGTACCGGCATTACTATTGCATACTTTAACACGGAAAAGTAGTTATTGTGACATAATTGTAATAGTTAGACACATGGTATTCCTGACATTTTTGTGAGATAATTGATGTCCTGTGTAAAATTGTAGCACATCACTTTGCTCTATTGTCCATAGTTTCCGCAGCGTACGCGATATAAGGATTCTTTTTAGTATTTTTTCACACCTTGGGTTACATTAACGAAGTTTTCATGCGGATCCCTAACTTTTTTGAAAATATTCTATCGCCTTTGTTCATCAGGGATAATGTAGGATTCTAATTGGGAAAGAATTTTTCAAATCGGTCCAGTAGTTTCGGAGCCTATTCTATTCAAACAAACAAACAAATAAACAAACAAACCTTTCCTCTTTATATTATTAGTGTAGACTAACTGTTACTCGCAGTATCACCCGCGTATATCACGTCCAGAGCCGCGTAACATGACACCACGCTTAAAGAGACGTTCACTGCTGGTTTTTCACGGTTCTCATCGGGATTTGGGAATTTTTCATTATCTCTTAAACTATGCGTTTAAATAACATGTTATAAAGAGCAAAGTTTATCGCCATAAAATTGTCTTATAATAATATAATGATGAATTGAAAAAAATTTACTTTAGTTCGTAAGGATTAATATGCCATGCCTAATAATAACGACCATAAATCTCTTTTTAATTTTCAATATTTTTTGCCACAAAACGCCTTATTGTGGCTTATGTATGAGAAAAAGGCCTATATATTACGAACTCTTTTTAGATGGAGAAAAGATCTATATTTTTATAGAACATAGAATTTACATATCACTAACCAGCGCACGCAGTATAAAGTGGTTTGGGGGCGCTTTTTCTTCCGGATTGCTGCAATATTACAATATATAATATATTAAAAATTATATGATATATACAAAAATAATTTATCAAATCGGATTAGTAGTTCCAGAGATTAGCATGTTTTAAACAAACAAAAAACCTTTTCTGATTAAATTTTCGTTATTTAAGAAAATATAGTAAGTACTCGTATATAAAAACTAGGATTCTGTGTTTTCCTGCAAGTTAGAAAGTCCTGCTTTAGTTTACATATGCATTTTTTCTAAAAATTTTTTTTTATAGAATTAGAGTGACAAACGAGCACACAGTCCACCTGATGGTAAGTGGTTGCTGTGGCCCATAGACATCTGTATCTATCTTCGATTGCGAATCAAAATGCAGATGCGTTGTCACCCCTGAGGACTAAGATATAATGCCTCTTTTCCTGTAAAAAGGGTCTCCGGTTCTCTACACTCACCATACGAAAAACAGCAGCATTAAGCTGCTATTTTACGCTGGTATTCTGTGAGAGCGTGGTCCTTCCGCGGTCGAGCCGATCCATTCGTGCTACAACTATACTATTAATATAGCTGCAGCATGGCTCTACCACGTATAAAAACAGACATGATCGGAGAGAGCTCAGATGCAGGATTAACGGCTTTACGTGCTTCCTGAGACACGAGGGCAAAACGCCGCCAACTTCCTGATTCCAGCTGCTACTGAGAATTTCTTGACAAATCAATCCAATAACAGGGTATTGACCCCACCTGGGTTTCGATTTCAGGACTTCATGATCATCAATCGCGTTTAAGAACACTAGGTCAACGAGGCAATCAAAACTTACGAGGACTCAAGGACTTATATAATTCATACAAATTGATATTAAAATTTGTGTAAACGCCTGTATGCCATTTTACGCTAGTATTCTCACAGAATACCAGCGTAAAATGGCAGCTCGATACTGCTGCTTTTTGTATGGTGAGTGCAGAGAACCGGAGACACATTTTACTGGAAAAGATGCATTCCATCTTAGTTCTCACGGGTGACGACGCATCTGCATTTTGATTCTTTATTGAGGATAAATGTAGATGTCTATGGGTCACAGGAACCACTTACCATCAGGTGGACTGTGTGCTCGTTTGTCACCCTATCCTATAAAAAAAATATGTTTGGCGTTTACACAAATTTTAATTTCTATAAACCTATTTGAGGAGTATATGTACGTTGCGTAATTTTGGTAAAAACTGTTTGTCGATGGGAATCAACGCAACGCAACTGTGATATGTACAATACAATACAAACACTCACGTCTGTCACCCAGAGGGGTAGGCAGAGACTACGGACTTCCATTTGGCGCGATCCTGACACACCTCTCTCGCCTCTTTTACATCCATATATCTACGCATACACGCTCGTCGGTTAAGGGTACTCCTAATCTGATCCATTTTTAATGTATCGCCGATTTGGTCGATAAACCTTCGTCTAGGACGTCCCTTCCCGACTCTGCCGTTTACTTCTGCAACATAAATTTGCTTTGTATGATTTTCATTATAATTTATTTGTAATCTAAAATAAATTAATATTAGAAGAAAATACCGAATAAATAATTACCGTGTAGTGGCGGTCAAGAATACCACTACCCCATATCCTCCCGTGGGTGTCGTAAAAGGCGACAAAGGGAAACAGGCAGGAGATGGGCAGCAGCATCTTCCTGATAATAGCCAAAATTATAATAAAAAAACTGCGGTTGCCAACCCGCTCGCCAAGCGTGGCAACTATGGCAAATACCCCCCTATGAATGTAACAAAGAGACGGCCCCCAGTCCCCGGCGGCCCCGCTATTCCTGGCTACGGTGGCGACCATGGTAACGGCGGGGCAGGGGGTGCTAAGAATCTCCGGTGGAGGTTCGGTTGCCACCTTAGACGACTCGACCTGGCAACGTACAACGCACGCACCCTGAGGACTGACGAGAAGATCGTGGCGCTGGAAGAAGAGATAGACAAGTTGCGCTGGCATATTATAGGATTATCCGAAGTCCGAAGAGAGGGGGAGGACACGGTAATCCTCGAATCCGGCAACTTGCTCTATCACCGGGAGGGCGAACATCTGTCCCAAGGAGGTGTCGGATTTATCGTCCACAAGTCTCTCGTTAACAACGTTGTAAAGATCGGGAGTGTGTCGACGAGGGTTGCGTACCTTATACTCAGAATCACCAAACGGTATTCGCTGAAGGTCATACAGGTTTACGCACCAACCTCGGCACACCCCGATCAGGAGGTGGAGGAAATGTATGAGGATATCTCTAGAGCCATGCATTCCTCCAAAACCCAATATACGGTGTTAATGGGAGACTTCAATGCAAAACTAGGCACAAGAGAGGACGGTGAGCTGAAAGTAGGGAAATTTGGAATAGGGCAACGGAACCCAAGGGGCCAGCAGCTGGCCGACTTCATGGAGAAAGAGGGACTCTTTATGATGAACTCTTTCTTCCAGAAGCGGCCCCACAGGAAGTGGACCTGGTCGAGCCCCGACGGTTCGACAAAAAATGAGATTGACTTCATTATGACGACCAGACGACAACTGTTCAGTGATGTCTCCGTGATCGCGAGGGTGAAAACTGGTAGCGATCACCGAATGGTTAGAGGCACACTGAACCTAAACGTTAAGTTGGAGAGGTCTCGTCTAATGAAGTCAACGCTCCGTCCCCCTCGTGCTCTGTTCCAAAGTCCCGAAACCTTTCAGCTTGAGTTACAAAACCGTTTTCAGTGCCTAGAAGACTGCAATGAAGTGGACGATATGAATGACAAGCTCGTGGAAACTGTCCATGCGGTCGGAGCTAAGTTCTGCAAGACCCGCCGCAGAAGAACACAAAAACTCTCCGATCACACTCTTAATCTCATGGCTGTTAGACGGGAGATGAAGCTACATTCTTCAACAGACTTAACAGCATACAGGCATCTGAACAGACAGATCTCCAAATGCATGCGGCGGGACTTACGCAATTTCAATACAGCTCGTATTGAAGAAGCGATCGAGCGGAACCAAGGCTCCAAAGTCTTTGCCAGAGATATGTCTGCCAGAAAGAGCCACCTGTCAAAGCTGAAGACAGAATGTGGCAGCATCGTTTCCGGGACACCTGAGATTTTGAGTGAGATTGAGAGGTTCTATGGGCAGCTGTACACGTCATCGTTGGAGCCACACGCAAGTGTGAGTAACGATCCAAGAGCGAGTCTCATCCGACACTATTCCGAAGATATCCCGGACGTCAGTCTGAGCGAGATTAGAATGGCTCTCCAGCACCTTAAAAACGGTAAGGCCCCAGGCGAGGATGGAATTACAGCGGAGCTTCTGAAAGTGGGTGGAAGACCGGTACTTGAAGTCCTTCAGAAGCTCTTTAATTCCGTCCTCCATGGTGGCATTACACCGGAGGCGTGGAGCAGAAGTGCGGTGGTCTTGTTCTTCAAGAAAGGTGACAACGCTCTCTTGAAGAACTACAGACCGATTTCCCTTCTGAGCCGCGTCTACGTGCTGTTTTCGAGAGTCATTACGAATCGTCTTGCGCGCAGACTTGACGACTTCCAGCCTCCCGAACAAGCCGGTTTCCGAAAGGGCTAGCACCATAGACCACATACATACCCTTCGGCAAATTGTACAGAAGTCCGAAGAGTACAATTTGCCACTATGTCTGGCGTATGTGGACTATGAGAAAGCCTTTGATTCCGTCGAAATTTGGGCGGTGCTGCAGTCCCTTCAGCGGTGCCAAGTTGACTGTCGGTATATCGAAGTGTTGAAGTGCTTGTACAGTAGGGCTACGATGGCTATCCGAGTACAGAACCAGAGTACGAAACCTATCCAATTGCAGAGGTGTAAGACAGGGTGACGTCATATCCACGAAACTCTTCACCGCTGCATTGGAAAACTTTTTAACAAGCTTCTGGACTGGAAAGGATACGGTATCAACATCAATGGCGAGTACATCACTCACCTTCGATTTGCCGACGATATAGTCCTTATGGCAGAATCGCTGGAGGACCTAAGAACTATGCTCAATGACCTCGATAGTGTTTCCCAACGGATAGGTCTTAAGATGAACATGGACAAAACAAAGATCATGTTCAATGTCCATGTCACACCTATGCCGGTAGTTGTTGGGAACACTAAGCTCGAAGTTGTTGACGATTATGTTTACCTGGGACAAATAGTCCGACTAGGTAAGTCCAACTTCGACCGAGAGGTCAATCGACGGATTCAACTCGGCTGGGCAGCGTTCGGGAAGCTACGACACATCTTCTCGTCAGACATACCTCAAAACCTGAAAACGAAATTGTACAACCAGTGCGTGTTGCCAGTGATGACTTATGGAACTGAGACGTGGTCCTTCACTGCTGGCCGTATGAGGAAGCTCAAGGTCGCTCAGCGAGCTATGGAGAGGGCTATGCTCGGAGTTTCTCTGCGTGATAAACTTAGGAATGAGGATATCCGCAGTAGAACCAGAGTAACCGACATAGCCCAACGGATTAGTAAGCTGAAGTGGCAGTGGGCCGGCCATATAGCTCGAAGAACCGACAACCGATGGGGAAGAAAGGTTCTCGAGTGGCAGCCTCGTACCGGTAGGCGAAGTGTAGGGCGTCCCCCCACGAGATGGAGTGACGACCTGGTAAGACATGCAGGAAGTCGATGGATGCAGGTGGCTCAGGACCGTGCTTTGTGGCATTCTTTGGGGGAGGCCTATGTTCAGCAGTGGACTTGTGAAGGGCTGTAATGATGAATGATGAGAAGAAAATTAATAGAATTAGGCGTTACTTCGCGAAAATCATTATATTGAAGATTTTAAAAATTAATTAACTAAGATTCGCGTAATAAAGTAAAAATTAATTACACCTACTGACGTATTATATCGTATGGAGATTTTATTATGCAGTATTTTGTTAATAATATTTATCGCAGTTATCACTTTAATTCAATTATCATTATGTGCCGTAATCAATCATAATTTTTTATCAATTAGCTACGTATATAAATGCTCAGAGAATACAAGGATATATCAAAAATAAAAAAAATGTTTCAAATCGGTTTCCTCCTTTGCCTGGTAGGGCTCGCTGTGGGCGGCCCGCCAGTTACAAAAACGAGGGAGGAAATCGAGTCCTTCAAGAATTTCTTGGAAAGAAGCCGTACAGGTAGGTACTTTAAAATCTAATAAATTCATTCATATAATAAGTTATTCCTTCAATCTTTGCAATATAGGTAGGTACTAACTACCAGAAATATTTTCGCTCCTTGATATGCGGGCTTCTTGAAAACTTCATTATGAAGGTTACGTAAGCTATTAGTCTGATTTCATAGCAAAAAAAATTCTCAAGATTAGTATACTAGTATGTATTTAACATCTTTCTAATTGTCATTGTTTCACAGCAGAGCATCTTGGTAAGAACGCCGATAGAGTACTGGCCCATTCTTTTTTTTTCTTCTTTTTTTTTAGATTGAAAACGTTACCTCCACACTAGGATTGTCTCCTGTATAGTGGGGACAGTTTACATACATAAATTTCACAAGGGCAAATATCCAGACTCGGAACAATTATTTGTAGGTCATACAAATACTTGTTCCGTGCGGGATTCGAACCCGGGGCTCTTAGCGCGGCAACTCATTAATAAGCCACTGCGCCACGGAGCCGTTCGAATTCATCAACAAGTATTTATTTTGCACCTTCAAAGTAGGCTCCATCGTTTGCAATACAAAAGCGTTTGATCTAGTTCTCCATATATTGCTAGTAGGCTGATTATGAAATGGCCTGGAGCTCCTTTAGCGATTTGTCTTATAAGACTTCACTCGACTCAAAGCTCCTTCCTCTAAGTTTTTAACTACTTCAAATTTTTTGACAACTTATTATAAGCCAGTGCTTGCTTACTATTCTACCTGTTGGGATGTGTTGATAATGCCACAACGCACTGACGTAGCTTAACAAAAACGTTTTTATATGTGGTAGAGCCATGCTGCAGCTATATTAATAGTATAGTTGTAGCACGAATGGGTTGGCTCGACCGGGGAAGGACCACGCTCTCACAGAATACCAGCGTAAAATAGCACCTTAATGCTGCTGTGTTTCGTATGGTGAGTGTAGAGAACCGGAGACCCTTTTTACTGGAAAAGAGGCATTCTATCTTAGTCCTCACGGCTGACAACGCATCTGCATTTTAATTCGCAAGATAGATGCAGGTGTCTATGGGCCGCAGCAACCACTTACCATCAGGTGGACTGTGTGCTCGTTTGACATCTTTAGTCTATAAAAAAGAACCTTTTTACTCTTGCCTTGAAGATACGAAGCTGGCAAATTATTCCTCACCTTTGTTGTACGCATTACGAACGACGAACCAAACCGTTTGGTTAGAATGTGTGGTGTATCGACAACTAGTTGTACGAGTGTAGCGTGTCGAGTTTTTAGCCAAAACTCTTGCACATTGATGGCTTAATTTCATATGCATTAACATGTTGTAATCTAGGGTTTGTTATTCTCTAAAAATCTGGCCAATTTCGACGAATATCTTCAAGTAAATCTCACACATCGCCTCAATAATATTTCTCTTTCATCGTATTCTCTCTGGAAAGAATGAGGAGTGAACAACACCGGGGCAATAGTGCTCCTTTCTTCTTGCTTTAATAATATTTCTCTTTCACCGTATTCCCTCTGGAAGGGATGAGGAGTGAACAACACCGCGGCAATAGTTATTTTTCTTCTGGCTTAAATAATATTTCTCTTTTACCATATTCCCTCTGGATGTAATGAGGAATGAACAACGCCGCGGCAATAGTTCTTCTTTCTTCTTGCTTTATTTCTTCTATCTACTTTCGTACGTCTAAACGTCAGTCGTCAAATTCTTACCACTCCATGGGTTGACTAGGTAGGTAGAGAATGTTCAATGACATTAAATCCGCCCTTTGTATCTTCTTTAATAGGTATTTTTCTTTTGTTATAGATAATGCAATAAAGAATAAATAAAATAAACCTATTTCTTATCTCTCTCTCATCGGGACTTTAGCCAAGTTTCTAAGATCTATACGACGATTTTCGATCACCTGTTCTTTAATTTTGTCAATGCTTACTACGTTCGACAGGATGAGTCCAAATCAACTACCACTTCTCAGCCTTCTTTGAATGTTTTATATATCATTTAAATTAAACTATTTTTATGGATTATATATTGCTGAGGTGTTTGACGTTTTCTTTGACGTTTTTTATTTATATTATTTGTTCTTTCTTTGATATTTGTTTAATTTTGTCTACCTATTACGGATCATGAGACAGTCCGCTGACAGTACAGACAGACAGACAGACGGACGGACAACGGAGGCTTAGTAATAGGCTTCCTCTCGGGGGTTGGGCTTGGTACGGAACCCTAAAAAGAGTTCTTTGCTTTGCTCTCGCGCTGTGTCCGTACGACCAACCTGGACAAACGAGGGAGACAACTGCAGCCCACACTGATTATATCTATACAAATAAATAAAATTGGATTGTCTGTTTGTAATGTCAGAATGATAGCTTTTTATCATGCGTATGAAAGTTTATACGGTACTTATAACAAAAACACAATTTTTTTTTAATTATTTTGAGGGGAATTTCACTGGCAGATAGCTGATACTGATATTATAAGGAGTAACTAACGCGCTACATAATTAAAACCCTAAATTATATGTAAACGCTTGCGAAGTTGCTTGGGACAGATAATCTATAAATAATTACGGAAATCATCATCATTCCGTAATCCCCGTTTACCATATATCTAGCGTTTTTTTTTTATTTCAAGAGCAATAAACCAAGGATTGTAGCTATGTCTGTATTATATTATTCTTTTCGTTTGCTGTATGGCTAAATAAATAATATTTAAAACTGGTATGAATATCGGCGGTTTAACTATAAATATTTTAAATAGTGAGAAAAACGGAATACGCTGGATATGGACTAAACGCCGCCCGAATACCCTCTAGTAGTAAAAGGATGTATTTAAATTCGAAACTTTTTTTTCCAGCGAATGGTGTCCGCCTCTCAGAACGCGTGCTTGCAAACCCGCTGGCTAGTGCGTGGGAGAACAGTGGCAAGTTCGAAGGTGACATCTTGTTGGACGACTGGCAGGTGGAGGCTATGGTGCAGGAGTTTGCTGCCGGTAGGAACGCCTACGTCTGGCCAAACACCAAGTGGCCCGACAACACCATTGTTTACGAGTTTGCTTCGGGTGTATTTGGTAAGTGACTTCTTACACCAGTAGCGGAGTCATACTTTTACAAACGAGTACACAGTCCACCTGATGGTAAGTGGTTGCTGTGGTTGCGAATCAAATTGCAGATGCGTTGTCGCCCGTGAGCTTCGATCAACCCGTGAGGGCTAAGATGGAACGCCTCTTTTCCAGTAAAAAAGGGTCTCCGATTTCTACACTCACTATACGTGCACACAGTTCACCTGATGGTAATTGGTTGTTGCGCCCCATATACATCTACTTGATTAAGAATCAAAATGCAGAAGCGTTGTCCCCCCTTAAGGAATAAGATGGAATGCCTCGTTTCCAGTAAAAAGGGTCTCCGGTTCTCTACACTCACCATACGAAACACAGCAGTGTTAAGCTGCTATTTTACGCTGGTATTCTGTGAGAGCGTGGTCCTTCTTCGGTCGAGCCGACCCATTCGTGCTACAACTATACTACTAATATAGCTACCTCTACCACGTATAAAATAGTTACATATACGCTATGTGTAGGATTGTATCGTATTCTTATTTGTATTAATGGCCTACCTAACTTCCTCTTTAGAAGGAATTCCTCGTTTATCTCATAGGTGTGTTGTGGTCTTTTTATGTCTTGGTCCCTGTGCTTTGATACAAGAGATACACCTGTTAACAAATGGATACGATCTGCTAGCTGGTTGCACTCTTCTTCTGCCGAGGAATTCATCTGGGTAGGTGCCACTCTCTTACCTAAATCTGCCGCCGAATAGTAGTGCTTGCTTGTATGTGTTCCGATCTTAAAGTAAGCCTGTAATTCCAGGTTTTAGGGCATTCCATCTTAGTCCTCAGACCCGACAACGTATCAGCAGCCTTCTTTCTAGGGAGTTGGGTACAGTTAAAGATGTCAATGGACTTCATTAGTCACTTACTATAAGGCGGAATGTAAGTTCGTTTGCCACATCAGTTTTATTAAAAAAAAGCTGGTAGGTTCACGCTACAAATTTCTCATAAGTATTAAATGTGAAAACAGCATCAAATATTACGATTATCAATTGTCAAAGATGGGAAGACAATGTGAAGTCCAGCAATACACGTCAGTGCAGCGCAGCGAACTGTTCAGAAGAGGTTTGTGCCCAGAAGTGGGACGTAAATATTGTTAATATTTTAACGTATCTACCTTTTTAGGGAGCCGGCAACAACGAGCTATTACGAACGCTATGCGAGATATCGAAAAGAACACCTGTCTTAGATTCCGTCAGAGACGTTCTGGAGAGTTCAACTATGTGAGAATTACGGTAACAAATCTTTTTTTTATATTATCAATCCATACATAACAGTCTTAAGGGTAAAGTAGCGTATAATGCTTACTGTTTTGGACGATGCATCGTTCTATTGTAGCAGAAGTAGTAAATTGTGTGCAATTGTGACGTAAGGGAAAGAATATAAGAAAGAAACATGAACAAATTATTAGCTGTTTTAAATTTAAATAGGTAGTTAAAATATTTACAAACAGGGCCTAATAAATAAATAAGCTTAGAATGAAAATACATGCAGATGTTTATAAATAATAGTGGGAGTACCTAGATGTTTATGGCTACTGGCTATAAATGTGCGTCCTTATTTGTGTTCTTTCACAAAAACCTCCTTCTGGGATTTTTACACAGCACCCGTAGGACAGAAACCAAGTACTCAAAGCCACGCGGACATCAGTCTCTAACACATGTAATATCAAGATTGAGCGTTGAGTTATTTTAAATCCGCACGGCATGAAATGTTAATTATGCACGTAGCTCTTTACATAAATAGCTTTGGTAGTAGATTCTGATTACAACACAATTAATATGTAATCTTATCCGATTTGATACAAAGATTTTTATTAGTCAAAACGCAAATTCAGATAACTGTGATTAAAATAACTTGCTTTACAATTCTGGTGTAGTGGCGGGTAAGAATACCCACTACCCATATCATCCCGTGGGAGTCATAAGAGGTGACAGAGAGAAATTGAGGCAGAAGATGGACAGCAGCATCTTTCTGATAACGGTAAAACAACAATAAAAAAACTGCGGTTTCCAACCCGCTCGCCAAGCCAACTACGGCAATATACCCCCGAATGAATAAAGGTTTTTTTTTATAGGATATGGGTGACAAACGAGCACACAGTCCACCTGATGGTAAGTGGTTGCTGCGGTCTATAGACATCTACATCTATCCTCGAATACGAATCAAAATGCAGATGTGTCTGTCACCCATGAGGAAGATGTAGATGATGACTAAGATGGAGTGCCTCGTTCCCAGTAAAAAGGGTTAACGAAGAGACGACCTCCAGTCCCCTGCGGTCCCGCTATTCTTGGCTGCGGTGGCGACCATGGTAACGACAGGGCAGGCGTGCTAAGAATCTCCGGTGGAGATTCAGTTGCCGCTTAAGACGACTTGACCAGGCAACATATAACGCACGCACCCTGAGGACTGACGAGAAGATCCTGGAGCTATAAGAAGAGTTAGACACGTTGCGCTGGAATCTTATAGGATTATGCGAGGTCCGAAGACAGGGGAGGATGGTAATGTATGTATGGATGGCATGGTAATCCTTGAATTCGGCAACTTGTTCTATCACCGGGAGGGTGACCATCTGTCCCAAGGAGATGTCGGATTTATCGTCCACAAGCCTCTCGTTAACAACGTTGTAATGATTGGGAGTGTGTCGACGAGGGTTGCGTACCTTATACTCAGAATCACCAAACGGTATTCGCTGAAGGTCATACAGGTTTACGCACCAACCTCGATACACCCCGATGAGGAGGTGGAGGAAATGTATGAGGATATCTCTAGAGCCATGCATTCCTCCAAAACCCACTATACGGTGTTCATGGGAGACTTCAACGCAAAACTAGGCACAAGAGAGGACTGTGAGCTGAAAGTAGGGAAATTCGTAATAGGGCAACGGAACCCGAAGGACCAGCAGCTGGCCGACTTCATGGAGAAAGAGGGACTCTTTATGATGAACTCTTTCTTCCAGAAGCGGGCCCACAGAAAGTGGACTTGGTTGAGCCCCGACGGTTCGACACAAAATGGGATTGACTTCATTATGATGACCAAACGACAACTGTTCAGTGATGTCTCAGTGATCGCGAGGGTGAAAACCGGCAGCGATCACCGAATGGTGAGAGGCACACTGAACCTAAACGTTAAGTTGGAGAGGTCACGTCTGATGAAGTCAACGCTTCGAACCTATCGTGCTCTAATCCAAAGTCCCGAAACCTTTCAGCTCGAGCTATAAAACCGGTTTCAGTGCCTAGAAGATTGCAATGCAGTAGACGATATGAATGACAAGCTCGTGGAAACTGTCCATGCTGTCGGAGCTAATTTCTGCAAGACCCGCCGCAGAAGAACACATAAACTTTTCGATCAAACTCTTAATGTCATGGCTGTTAGACGGAAAATGAAGCTGTAGTCTTGAACAGATTTGACAGCATACAGGCAACTGAACAGACAGATCTTCAAATGCATGCGGCGGGACTTACGCAACTTCAATACAGCTCTTCCACTGGATCGCTTCTTCTGGAAGAAGAAGCGATCGAAGAAGAAGCGATCCAGCGGAACTAGGGCTCTAAAGTTTTTGCTAGAGATCTGTCTGCCAGAAAGAACCAACTGTCGAAGCGGGTGACCGAGTGTGGCAGCGTCGTTTCCGGGACACCTGAGATTTTGAGTGAGATTGAGACGTTCTATGGGCAGCTGCTATGGGCACATCATCGTTGAAGCCACACTCAAGTGTGAGTAACGATCCAAGAGCAAGTCTTATTCGACATCATTCCGATGATATTTCGGACGTCAGTCTGAGCGAGATTCGAATGGCTCTCTAGCAGTTTATATTAGGGAAGTCCCCGGGCGAGGATGGAATTACAGCGGAGCTTCTGAAAGCGGGTGGAAACCGGTGCTTGAAGTCCTTCAGAAGCTCTTTAATTCCGTCCTCCATGGTGGGACTACTCCGGAGGCGTGGAGCAGAAGTGCGGTGGTGTTGTTTTTCAAGAAAGGTGACAATGCTCTGTTGAAGAACTACAGACCGATTTCCCTTCTGAGCTGCATCTACGTGCTGTTTTTGAGAGTCATTACGAATAGTCTCACATGCAGTCTCGACGACTTCCAGCCTCCCGAACAAGCAGGTTTCCGAAAAGGATTTAACACCATAGACCACATACATACCCTTCAGCAAATTGTACATAAGTCTGAGGAGTACAATTTGCTACTATGTCTAACGTATGTGGACTATGAGAAAGCCTTTGATTCCGTTGATTTAGGCGGAGCTGTAGTCCCTTCAGCGGTGCCAAGTTGACTGTCGGTATATCGAAGTGCTGAAGTATTTATACAGTAGGGCTACGATGACTAACCGAGTACAGAATCAGAGTACGAAACCTATCCAACTGCAAAGAGTATAAGACAGGGTGACGTTATATCCCCGAAACTCTTCACCGTTGCATTGGAAGATGTTTTCAAGCTTCTGGACTGGAAAAGATACGGTATTAACATCAACGGCGAGTACATCACTCACCGTTGATTTGCCAAGGACTATCCTAATGGCAGAATCGTTGGAGGACCTAAGCAATTTGCTCAATGACACATGAATAGACAGGAGGACAGATGAACACGGACAAATCGAAGATATGTATAATGTCCATGTCACACCTATGCCGGTAGTTGTTGGGAGCACTAAGCTCGAAGTTGTTGACTAGTATGTTTAACTGCGACAAATAGTTCGACTAGGTAAGTCCAACTTCGAGCGAGAAGTCATTCCACGGATTGAACCCGACTAGGCAGCGTTCGGGAAATTACGGCATTTCTTCTCGTCAGGTATACCTCAAAACTTGAAAAAGAGACTGTACAACCAGTGTGTGTTGCCAGTGATGACCTATAGAACCGAGACGTCGTCCTCTTCAGTGCTGGCCGTATGAGGAAGCTCAAGGTCGCTCAGCGAGCTATGGAGAGCAAGCTAAGGGCTATGCTCGGGGTTTTTCTGCGGGATAAACTTAGAAATTAGGATATCCGCAGTAGAACCAGAGTGACCGACATAGCCCAACGGATTAGTAAACTGAAGTGGCAATGGGCCGGCAATATAGCTCGAAGAACCGTCAACCGATGGGGAAAAAAGGTTCTCGAGTGGCGGCCTCGTACCGGCGGACAAAGTATAAGGCGTCCCCCCACTAGATGGAGTGACGACCTGGTAAGACATGCAGGAAGTCGATGGATGCAGATGGCTCAGGACCGTGCTTTGTGGCATTCCTTGGAGGAGGCCTATGTCCAGCAGTGGACTTGTGATGGGCTGTAATGATAATGATGATGATGACAATTCTGTTATTTTTGTTGTAGTGTAGAATACTCGTAGTTGTTTTAAATTTTGCCAACAAGTTTGCCAGAAGTTGTCCAAAACTCTTTTTAAATGTTTTTTTTTAAGTTAAAGAATGAATTATAATAATATACATATATTCATAAATTAGCTATTATTATTTCTTATTAATTACACTTAATAAAAATCAATTTATGTATGCTTCATTGTTATTCCAAATTTTATCTGAGTAAATAATATTTCACGAACAAGAGTAACTGACATAGCAATGCCTTTGCGCAATGGGCCGGCCATATAGCATAATACTTAGCTCAAAAACCGACGGCCCATGGAAAATAAAGGTTTTCGAGTGGTAGCCTCGTACTGACAAGAGCAGAGCACGGTGCGTTTCCACTTAATGAAGTGACAATTTGATGAAACATTCATATAATCGATGGATGTAGGTTTCTGGACCGTGGTAGAGCCATGCTGCGGTTATATTATAGTTGTAGCACGAATGGGTCGGCTCGACCGGGGAAGGACCACGCTCTCACAGAATACCGGCGCAAAATAGAAGCTCAATGCTGCTGTGTTTCGTATGGTGAGTGTAGAGAACCGGAGACTCTTTTACTGGATACGAGGCATTTCATCTTAGCCCTCAGGGGCGAAAAGGCATCTGCATTTTGATTTTTTCTTAATTGAGGATAGATGTAGATCTCTATGGGGCTACAACATCCACTTACAATGAGGTTGGCTGTGTGCTCGTTTGTCATACATTTATAAAAAAACTACTTTGTTACCTCTTCCATAGTCCTATTTTCAGCGGTGGACTAGGCTGTAGTAGTAGTAGTACTAATGATGGTAATAATAGTAATAATGGTAGTAATGGTTATTTGGGGCATCTATATAGTTTACTCATCTGGTTGGGCTGTATAAATATATAATTGTAAATGAAAATGATAAACATACATAAATATCAACAAAATAAAATAAATGCATAAAAAATACATAAATAAATAAAAACCCAACCAGATGGAAGCCCTCGGCAGGGGAGACCAGACGGCCGAGGGTTAGGGGGAAAGGGAAAGAAACCGGCGGACGATGCGGGCGGTATCGAGGAGCACCGCCTTCTGCATTTGAGCCTGGAGCGGTCCGTCACGGAGTCCCAGTCGCCTCAGATGACCCGGGAGGCTGACTGGGATTAACCCGTTCGCAGAAACGACCACAGGAATAATTTCGGTCGGCAGACCACCCCACATGCCGGTAACCTCGTGAGCCAGGTCCAGATATTTTGTCACCTTATCTGTTTCGGCTTTCACGAGGTTCTCGTCATAAGGAATGGTAATGTCGACCAAAAAGATCCTTGACTGTGCCCGGTCCATCAGCACAATATCAGGCTTATTCGCAAGAATAGTCCTGTCTGTGATGATGGCCCGGTCCCAGTAGAGCCTGGCGCGGTCATTTTCGAGCACGGCTTCCGGCAAGTACTTATAATACGGCAGTTTCCGATCCACGAGGCCGTATTTCAGAGCGAGCTCCTGGTGTAGAATCCTGGCTACTAGATTGTGTCTGTGCAAATACTCAGAGTTAGAAAGCGCCGAACAACCGGAGATGACATGCCTAAGTGACTCACCGGGATGGCGACAAGCTCGACAGATGTCGACGGCGCCATCCTTTAGGATGTATCTCCGATAGTTGTTGGTCTTAATAACCTGATCCTGTATCGCACAGACAAAACCCTCGGTTTCCCCAAAGAGGTCACCGAAACGTAGCCAGTGAAGGGAGGCGACTGTGTCTACGAAAGGCTCATGTAGAGCCTTGTAGAACCTCCCGTGGAGCTCCTTCTCCTTCCATACGGCCTACCGGTCGGAAATGCACTGTACTGCTGGGTCTTGCCATTGCTCGTTGGCTAAGGATAGAGGGGTCAGTCCTTTAACACAAGAAATAACGTCCCTATAGTATGGATCATCCGCTCTCGTCAGAAAGTAATTACGGAGGCTGCACACTTCGCGATTATGCATGGTAAGCGCGCTTAAAAAGCCGCGCCCACCATGCTTCCGCGGCAAGTACAGCCTCATTACTGACGATCTCGGATGATGCATCCTGTGGGACGTAATTATAGTGCGGACTTTTCTGTCCAGAGCGTTTAGTTCGGTCTGAGTCCACCTAAGTATGCCAAAGGTATACATGAGAACAGGCATGACCCAACCGTTATATGCGTGCGTCTTATTCACACCGGACAAAAGGCTGTTAAGCACTTTGGTCAAGCGTGCATAAAACACATCGCAAACTGACTGTTTCATACCCGCCTCATCTACACCGATGTTCTGTGACATACCCAGGTATCGGTATGTTTCAGCCTCGGAAAGGGTCCTTATGTTGATGGGCATAGATAAATCTATGCCCTCGGAGTTAGCAACCCTTCCCCTTTCAACATGGAGGACCGCACACTTATCCGTCCCCAGCCCCATTCCAATAGAATTGCTAAAATCACAAGTGATGTTTAGCAATTCCACAAGATGAGAGCGACTGGAGGCGAATAACTTGAGATCATCCATATAGAAAAGGTGGGTCACTTTTGTACCTCCCCTCCGAAGCTGAAATCCCCTCCCGGAGCCCTCCAGTAAGGTACTGAGAGGGTTCAGAGAGAGGCAGAACCAGATTGGACTCAGACAATCGCCCTGGAAGATACCCCTTCTTATCCTTATGTGGTTCTCCGCAGCCGTCACCCGCTCGCCTAGATGACAAAGGATCGTACTCCACTGCCCCATACACTGCCCGAGGAAGTCTCTAACTGTACAGTCAACCTTGTACAGTTCGAGGACCCTCTTCAGCCATGTATGAGGCACCGAGTCAAATGCCTTTTTGTAGTCTATCCAGGCGGCGGATAGGTTCCGACGGTTGCGTTTAACCACTTTGCCAATGACCGCGTCAATGAGGAGTGGTTCCTTGGTTCCACGACCACCGCCCCGACATCCATTTTGAGCGCGCGACATCACCTGATTTGAGTTCAGGTGACGAGTGATTCTCGCGCTCAAAATGGATGTTAGTGTCTTATATATCGTGGGTAGACACGTGATGGGGCGGTATTTGCTCGGGTCTATGGTATCCCGGTCTTTAGGAACCAAATGAGTGATCCCAGTAGTGAAGAGGCTCGGGAGCGACTTTTGGTCGAGAGCCTCTTGAAATTGTCGGGCAAGCACAGCGTGACACACCACGAACCCCTTCAGCCAGTAGTGATGCAGCCCGTCGAGCCCCGGACTTTTCCAGTTCGGGGCCCTTCGGACCGCCTCAGCTACATCGTCCGGCGTTATAATGACGGGATCCATGGGCGTAAGATTCGCACACTGACTCACCACAACTTCCGTCCAAGGGCCCTCACTGTGGTTTACGGGCTCTGACCACAGGCCGCGCCAGAATGCGACATTGTCGGCCTGATTCGGTGCTTGGCCCGTTCCACGTACCATTGGTCGCTCCAATGATTTATATAGCCTCTTCTGATCACTCTGGAAGAGACGATTCTGGTTGAACCGTGTCGACCTCTCGGTATATCGCCGAATCCGCTTCCCCCAAGCAGCGATTCTCTGCTTCAGGTCGTCTATGCGCTCCGTCAGTTTTTGCGTTATATCCGGCTGGGACAAACTGATATTTGTCCCAGCAAACGCCAACCTGACGGTGCGCACAATTTTCGGCCTATTATTGCCCGACCTGAAGCTTATCAGCCTGCCAATGACGGCCCTTGCCTTTACGATACGGTCCTCAATCCTTCTTCTCCAGGCTGGGATGGCGCTACTTTGTCTAGTAGCGCGTCCAGCCGTGGGAAGTTTGGCGCCAACAATACGGCAAACTGCCAGTGCGGCGCCAAAAAGAATTGAGTCCGTCTCGCAAAGGTCCCGGCTGGCTTCCAAATAGGTCACCAGCATTGGGTTGAGAGCCCTCACGACAGCCCGATTTCGCTTGCTTAGGGGTATGCGCGGGAGTCGCGGTCGATTTTCGAGAGGCGTACTGCGCGTTTCCACAATCGCCTCCTCCAATTTACTCCTCATCTGCTCAAGTTCTTGGGTGACCATTCCATCATCGCCTGAATCAACTAGAGCGGGGAGATTCATGGCGCCCTCTATATGTGGCTGCTGGTCTGTGGCCTGAAGAGCCGCATCCCCAGCTATAGCCGGTTCATTCGATGAGGGAATAGCCTCACGCCGTAGTCGTTCGAGTTCGGCATCATCAAATATTTTCGAGCGTATGATGTACCGAACTCGGTCTGCCAGGTTTTGCTGCGTGACGGGAACTGACGGCTCAAGCTCAGCAAAAAAGCGATGCATCCGAGCCCGATACGCTATCCCTCCAGTTTCTTCCCCCTTCGCCCTATAGTACGCCCGCAATGCGTTAATGTTCATATTTTTTGTCCAACGCATGCGGGGTACTCCACCAGCGGCGGGTGTCGCTTGCCGAGTCCGAGAGGACCCCGCCGACACCAAGCCGTCTGGTGGGGATGATGGACGCGAGGGGCTGCTAGGTGGTCGTGCAGCACCTCGCGCTCGGCTGGCGGCTCGCATGCTGTCACGTCCAGCGCCAGCTCCAGACGCGCCCCGGCGACCCCCAGGCAGCGGCCCTATGCGCGTTTTATTTTCATCCATCATCCATTAATTTGGGCGTCAATTAACGGGTGGTTATTATTATTATTATTATTATTATTATTATTATTGGTGGTTATTATTATTATTATTTTAGTGAATATTAATTATTATTGATTGTAATAATTGTGTAAATTCAAAAGCGATTTTTCAATCCAGAATCGAAATCTCTCCACTCTAAGGATATTTATCAGTAAAATGATATACTTTACTGTGTAAATGCATCTTCAAATCACTCTAAAATATTTTGAACCAAACTAACTTTTTACGCGCGGCTTCGCTAGTGTGGGTTTCAATTTAGGAACGTCATAAAATAAGTAGTTCTATGATTTTGTTTTGGTATGGGAACGAAGTTCCTTATCGATTGGTGTCGGCGGATGGGGCTAGGCGAGAAAAAGTGTAAAATTTTTCCGTCACGTACCCCTTCTAACATAGTGTAGACGGCCTTGGCGTTATAAGGAAGTGAGATGGAATAATATCTATCTCCCTCGCACTATTTCTTATCTTGTCATGAAAATTATTTTATTTTAAATGACGTTTCATTTTAATAGATGCTAGTAATTCATTTATTTTTGTATTTGTTAATCAATAATACTCGTATAATACGTTTGTCAATAATAATATACTACGAAAGGAACTTCGTTCAAACCGAGTGTTCCATGACACTCACGCATGTTTTTTTTTTACTTGTAGTAATTATACATATTAATAATATGATGATGATTGCAAAATGACCTATCGTTACTTAATCATTTTATGACATTTATATTTATATTAGGAATTTAGGTTTTAAATTAAAACTAGTGCTTTAAGATCGCTCTGCGGATACAGGTCTAATAATTAAAGAATATCATAACTAAATACCAGGGTACGCGAGACGGATGCTACGCCAGCATCGGGTACTGGCCAGAACGTGGTCCTCACACCCTCAACTTGGCCCGTGACACTCCTGGCATCGGCTGCTTTGTCCATACCACCATCATCCACGAGTTGCTCCACGTCATCGGTTTTTTCCACATGCAGTCCACTTACAATCGTGACGACTATGTGCGCGTTATGTGGGAAAATGTTTTTCCAGGTTTGTTTTTCTTGTTTTGAAATAGCTGTGTCTGCGACTTTGTCCGCGTGAAATTCTATTTCGCGGTAACTTTACCCGCCTTTTTTTATAGAATCTCGCTTTTGAGGCAATTTATGGGGAGGCCTATATAAGAATAAATGTATAAATATTTTTATATTACCTATAGACCATAGATTCCTTTCCTTTTTTCTTTTTTTAAACGATTACCTCAAATGTGATATTTGCCATAGTTGCCACGCTCGACAGGCGGGTTGGCAATCGCAATTTTTTTTTATTTTCAATTGTTATCAGGATGCTGCCGCTGTCTATATCTTGTTTCTTTGGCTCTCCTCCTCCTCTTTGGTCACCTCTTACAACACAACGAATTATATTATATAATTATATTATGGGTTAGTGTCTTCTTTACGCCGTCAAATAAAAATATATTCTAAACTTTATAGGCATGGAGCACAACTTCGAACGCTACGAATCAAACATCGTGCAGAACTTGGGCGTACCATATGAGTACACAAGCTGCATGCACTACGGTCCTTACGGGTTTAGTGTCAACGGCAAACCCACTCTTGTACCACTGCATGTAAGTTTTTTTTTCAATTTAAAATAAACATAACTATAGTTTGGTTTCAGTTCAGGGTCTAGTCTCAGAGGCAGATGACAATCACTAATGACGTTAGTGTAGAAAAAATTTAAATAAAAGAAAACTCTCTTTTCAATTCACAGCGAAACTCTTTTAAATAACAATCTGTGAACAATTTTACAGTGTGGCACTCAAGTTGAGAATAGGTTTAGAAAAGTTACAATATATGTACTATTGTTATTTTTCTACTTAAACGGCTGTACTCTACCTCGCGTCAGCCTTTAACAGTTAAACATGGACCTTTCCAATTGTAGAAAAATATACTGCAATCGTCACGCTTAACCTTGCTTCCTGTCACTACACTGACTATCTTTGTTTTATAGAATACGGGTGACAAACGAGCACACAGTCCATCTGATGATAAGTGGATGTTGTGGCCCATAGACGTCTACATTTATCCTCAATAAAGAATCAAAATGCACATGCGTTTTCATCCTTGAGGACTGAGATGGAATACCTCGTTTTCAGTAAAAACGGTCTCCGGTTCTCTAAGCTGCTATTTTATGCTGATATTCTGTGAGAGCGTGGTCCTACCCTGGTCGAGCAGACACATTCGAGCTCCCACCACAATATTGCTGTAGCATGGCTCCACCACGTAAAAGATATGCATATCAATCGAATGGTCACAAAATATTTCGGGCTTTTCCCTCGATCGCCTCTTACGACAGTAACTCTCACTTCGTAAGTAGACTTATATGTAGGGTTTTTGTTATATAATTTGGAGTAACAAATTGGGTACACTGTCCACCTGACGGTAAATACATGTTGTCGACCAAAGACACCTACAAACGTCTTGCATTGATTAAGAATCAAAAATTTAATTCGTTGTCATCATTGTAGATTTAATAGAAAGGCCTCGTTACTAATAAAAGCTGTATAAAACGCAATAACATTCTGTTGCTATTTTTACGGTTATATTGTAGAGGAGTGAGTTGTTTCTGTCAATCTGTCACATGGCATAACATATTCAATGGGACCCAAGTAATATTATAGTTTTTATTTGTATTATTTCAGAGTTTCCAAGGCGTAATGGGTCAGCAAGACTATGTGACTCAGTATGATTGGCTGCGGGCTAGAAGACACTATAACTGTCCAGGCGCCTGGTCTACCGATGACCTTGAATCACAATCGGAAACATTAGAAAATGAAAATGTAAAAGTCGTTGAAGCTCCTGTAGAAACTGAAAATTATGTTTAATGTCACAAACCCTAAAGACTGACTTAAATTATGTGTCATATGTGAGCAACGATAAGCATTCAACTATTTAATGGGAATAGTACCGACATTGACCAATATCTTACATCGGTATTGGCACCTTTTAAGGTCAAATTTAGTCTGCTTAGAGAAAATTTGCTATTCAACTAACAGTAGCAACATAAGTTATGTACTAAAGACAAATTTATTTATTGTTTATGCTCCTTTCTCTCCAATTTCTCTCAAAACAAAATCTCATAACTTGCGCTCTCTATGCTCTGCGCAAACGCAAGGTGCGACTTCCACACAATGGCACAAAGATAAATGACAATAAAATTGTTTCTATTAAGATCTTTTTATTTTATGATTAAATAATTATAAAATGTCTTTAGATGTCATGATAAAATTTATTATTATTTTTAATTGTTGTCTAAAACATTCGTAGTACTTAATCATTATTAATTTCTAACTTCTTTCGTACTATTAATTTCTTATACGAATACATATCTTTAAAGCAGACACTCACACAGACTGATATACTTTGTATTATTCCAGAAAAATAAAGTATGTACAAACTAGGATTCTTACATGTAAGTATTATTTATTCTGTGTCGCAAGTTAACTGGAAAGTCCTGTTTTAGGTTTATACTTATGGTTTATTTTCTATAAAAATTTTTTTAGCTGACGCAACACACAAAACAATTACCACACGATCTAACAATATATTATGTCCCGAAGTAAACACTATCATCATCATCAGCCTAATGGTTTCTTATATTTACGCGAAGACTACACATTAAATGAAACTAATTTTTTACGAATTTTTTCGCGTTTAATTCAGCTATATGTTCATAATATTTATATGTTCATAGTAATAATATGTTCACAGAACATATAGCTGACTTGAAGCACCGACGTTCCGGGAAATCTGCAGTGTGTGAACATGTTCAAGATCGTCCCAACCATTACATTAGATTTGATAGACCACAAATCCTCGCAAAAGAACACCGATTCCTACCAAGAGTGATTCGTGAGGCTATTGAAATTAAAAAACATTCTAATTTCAATAGAGAAGATGGGTGGGTGCTGCCATCTGCTTGGGATCCTATAATTGATAAAATTAAATCCAAACCCAAGCATACCACTGTAAGACTTCAAGATACTATAAGCTCATTCTGCGTAGATCGGACCAAAGATTAATATTAAAAAACTGAAGGTAGATGGGCTATGACATCGGGACGTCAAACACCTCAGTCCCTCCCGTGACCACGGGTGCTGAAAAGAACCCGAAACGTCGGGAAGTAAAAAGTTAAATTAAACGCGAAAAAATCCGAATCCATTTAATATCATCAGCCTAATTTGAGTTCTCTGATGGAATAGGTATTTCCAAGAATACGTCAGTTGACATGCATTTCCAAAAATAATTGCTAGCCGGCACCTGCGCCCTGGCAAAGATTTTCCCCATTACAAATCTGTTGAATTTAGATTTGGTATTGTGGCTGTCGTCGCGCCACGGGCTAAATACATCGAAGCCTAAATCACGCTATCAAAGTACCAAGGTATATACAGAATAGCTCCGAACTACTACTCCGAGCGTTGACCGCTCTCCCACTAGATGGAGTGACGACTTGGTAAGATATGCAGCAAGTCGATGAATGCAGGTGGCTCAGAACCATGCTTTGTGGTATTTCTTGGGTGAGGCCTATATTCAGCAGTGGACTTGTGAAGGTCTGTAATGATGATGATGATGACGGACGGGTCGACTCAACCGGGGAATAACACTCACAAATTACCGGTGTAAAATAGCACCTAAATGTGCTATGTTTCGTATGGCGAGAGAAAACCGGAGAACAAATTTTACTGGAATTGAGTTATTCCATCTTAGTCCTCAGGTTTCAGGGGTGACAAAGTATCTGCATTTTGGTTCTTAACCGAGAATAGATGTAGATGTCTATGGGCAACGGCATCCACTTACCATCAGGTGAACTATGTGCTCGTTTGTAACGTTTAAGACATTGAATGACAAAAACCGGAGCTAGACCATTGTAATATCATATAAATTGAAAATTATTTGAGATTACAAAGAGGGAAATATCGAGAGATGCAATTATTCCGCCTTATTACAAAACGGCTTATTAGTCTTTGAGTTTAATTTAAACTATGGTTTAAGAATAGTCCTTCAGTGCTTCTAAGTAAAGAAATCCCGTAGCGGCGGCGTCACTTGCTTTTACAACCATAATATAGCTGCTGCGTGGCTCTACCACGTAAACATGGCTCTACCCTTGCTACCGAAGCGCCACCCTAATTGGACACTTCTCTACGGACACCTTTTCATACACAGAGATGTTTCTCCTTACTCTCCGTACTCTAAATACATGCTTCGCAAAATTTGACATTTGCTGTCAAATTCCAATACATTACATTTTAGGTCGCTTATTTCCGCGGGACTTCTTTCGTGAAATAGATTTTATTTGAAACCTGAGACAAATGAACCTAACGCCCATTATATTCGAATCTAGCTCTGTGGAAGTAAAAGCCTAAATTCATAATTACAATTATATTTCGCATTAACGCTTCGAAGCAGATTTCAGTAATGACGTCTTAGATCACTTCTTTTTAGCGAAGACTTACAGTTATGTGGGCGGTCGCTGTTGCTGCACCTCGCTGGCCTATTTTCCGTTAACCGGGTGGACCTAAATACATCTCTACAAACTCTCCTGATTGTTCTTGTTCTTAACAAACTCTTGCATTTTTATTAAGTACATCTAAATCTCAGACCTAAATTTATATTTGCGCACTAAATACATCTTTAAAATCTATCTGTCATATTCATTTACTACGCTTACCCTCTACCTGTACCTTAAAGGGATTAATTTTATTTTGTACATGTTTACAAATAGGTAAATTTCGCACAGTGTCGGGACAAGTCTCCTACATTTTGGTTTCGGCCCATAGTGCAAAACCATTAGTTAAAAAAAATTGGATTTATACCGCCTTCCATTTCGTTTTAGTTGTAGTTATCTTTGTCTATGTGCAATTTATGCATGTAAAACGACTCCAAGTTACATTAGAAACTCTTGGTGCTTTCACATATAATATAAATCAAAATATAAATCGCAATTAACGATTTCATTAGTGTCGGCGGAGATCGCACCTGGGTTGCTCGCGTACGGTGAAATAAACAGCGAGCGCCTAACCCCTGAACCGCCTTACAACGGCACTTAAACCACTTGCTCGGCGGTGAAGGAAAACATCGTGAGGAAACCTGCATGTCTGAGAAATTAAAAATATTTCAAAGACATGTGAAGTTCATCAACGCGCATTGGTGCAGCTCAGCGGACATTCCTTGTTCTAAAAACCCTCTCAGAAGTGAGAGGAAGCCTATGCCCAGCAGTGGGATGTAACTTTACTACGATCCTATGTGCTATAACTTTGATTTTTTAATCAGTGTAAAGACCACATGTAATACACATCTTTCTAGAGATTTTCGCCTCTTTCAATTTATTTTAAGCATATAATATTTAAATATTTGCCAGCGTTCTTGGCACTATACCTCAGAGAGTAGGACTGTATGATAATTAAGTTATTAGCTTTTGCTTTTGTTTGTTATAATCTTTTAATATTATATTGTATATTAATAAGATTTTATTAGATTTTTTTTAGAAATTTGTTCATTAATAAATTTAAGAAAATAAGGAATGATTTTAAATATTACATTTCCTATCCAGGGTAAAATATTATAAGTCCATAAGCTCTTTCCCTGAAACATTGAACTATGTCTCAAGAAAAATAGTGAGTTACTTTTTGTCAATATAACTACCACAAGCATTTACTATATTGGTACTCAATAATCTTTAAGTATGACGTAAGTAAATCGTTATCGTAATATTGAGTGGTGTGCAAATATTCAAGCAATAACAATTGTTATTATTTATTTGATTTCTTAGCAGGTTACTGCACCTATGTTCCAGTTTGTCGTTTGCAGATGCTTAGTTCTAATTTTAATAGAAAGCGAGAAGTCTTTGTGTTGGATGCATGCTGCTGACAGTAAATTTCGTCTTTTTCTTCTTTAAAGCCTATGAAAGTATACAGCTGAACATATGCCTCCCCGAAAATTGCCTTATGGGGGCACTGTACTTGCCATAGTTGCCACGCTTGGCAGATGGGTTGACAACCGCAGTTTTTTTTCTAAATGTTTATTAGTAAGACGCTACTCTCCATATCGTGATTTGATTCCCTCTGTCGCCTCTTACGACACCCACGGTACGATACGGGGTAGTGGATATTCTTACACCGCCCCTATACACTATAACACTAGATAGTTAATTGTGATATATCACTAAAACCTAATAAAATCAAAAAAGGAGACTTTTTGAGCCGTAGTTACATTATTAATTAGTATAGTTGTTGCACGAATCGGTCGGCCCGACCGGGGAAGGACGACGCTCCCACAGAATACCAGCGTAAAATAGCAGCTTAAGACTGCTGTGTTTCGTTTTTACTGGAAAAGAGACATTCCATTTTAGTCCACACAGCTGACATGCATTTTATTCGCAAACGAGGATAGGTGTAGATGTCTATGGGCCACAGTAACCACTTACCATCAGGTGAACTGTGTGCTTGCTTGTCACCCTTAACCTATAAAAAAAATCAAGCGGCAGACAGAATCTATCTGCCTGTCGCACTTGTGGTAAATCTTTTGCTAAGAAGTTCGTCTATCTGCATAGGTCCATGTCTTACCTATTTCTGTCGACAAATAGCAGTGTATGAACTGTTGTGTATTCGGTGTGAAGTGTATAGAGAGTTAGTATATGGTACGTGAGGGTAATATAGTCATACGGTTAATATGGTCACTTTCTTATAACTCAAACTCTACAACCTTGTTTGCATATAAGGCTCTATGATACGATAGCTCTTTATCAGTCTATTAAATATTAAAGGGGCAAAGAGGCGCTGCTTTATCGACGCCATTTTGTCAGTTGATATTATTGTAAATATTCTAGTCGATTTTTGTATTGTGTGGTGTAGTTAGTTTGTTTTTAAGTTGATTTTTCGAAGTGTTCCTAATTATTACCAAAGCTTGTTAGCTATTTTTTTCTTAACATATTATTTATAGTATACGACTTTGTGTTTTTGTCTCTGTCCTCCTTCTAATTTTGGTTTTATAGGGCGATTAAGCTTAAGGACCATATTACCCTCACGTACCTTAATTATACTGTAGTAGACTATACTCTGTATTAGTGAGGCAATCCATCTTAGTCCTCTAAGGTGACACCGCATCTATAGCCTTCTTGGAGTTTTGGCGGGAACTTGACCGGCGACGGATGGCTGCTCCTGTATTATTGTTTAAATAATGGTTTGAAGTGGATTTTGGTATGTAAAAGTGGTGCGATTTTATGTATTAAATGTCTACGCATGTGAACTATTAGTCGAAGCGGTCAAACAAGTGCTGTGATGGTGATGTGGTTATCAAGATAAGGTGTCTGTCTGCTTAGGCGCCTTGAGATACCATCGCCAACTGTCAGTTTACTGCTGGCTCAAGTTGCCGTCAAAATCTCCCAAGGGCTGCACAATGTGACGCATCAACATATTGTGAAGCAGTGTACTATGAAGGATAATTATACATTGTAATAACTTCAGGCTCAGAAGGGCTAGAACCCAGAGCCGTAAAGTCAGTTATTTAAAAAAATATAGCCTTCTTTTTTTGAATTATCATCCATTGAACTGTAAGTTCGTTTGTCATTCCAATTTTATAAAAAAAATGAGATTATAACATCATTGCCTCAAGCCCTGAAAAGTTAAAATAATTTAAAAATTTTACTTCGCTTTCAAGAAAGCTTACGATATATTACTTTTTCCTTGACTAAGGATGATCAACGAGCAACAGTCTACCTGATGTTAAGTGGGTGCCACAGTCTAGACCCAAAGACATCTACATTTATTCTCAATTAAGAATCAAATGCGTTTTTACCCCAGAGGACTAAGACGGAATGCTTCGTTTGCAGTAAAAAAAGTCTCCGGCTATTTTACGCTGGTATTCTGTGAGAGCACGATTCTTAGTGGGTTCGACCCATTCATGCTACAACCATAATATAGCTGCAGCGTTGCTCTACCCCGTATAATTGCATGTTTAGTAAAATAATATTTAAATGTTCATAATCACAGAACTATATTAGATTTAAACTCAAAGTATGAAATAAGCATTGCTTCCTTATGTGTACTCTAAAGTTTAAAACTTATAATATTTTCTTTGAATTTTTTAACACGTGCTTCATTTCTAACAGTTTATAGCAAGGACGAATTATTCTTTCTGTAAACGACCTCTTCACATAGCGATGCGGATTAAGGAGAATAAAACTATCGCTATTATCAAATTAATCACAGCATTATCTCATTACGAGTATAGTTATTTGCTTTCTACGTATAAATTTAGTAGAAGCATCGATTAATATTTAAAACTAGCGACCTGCCCCAGCTTCGCTTGGATAGAACCATTTATTTTAACAGTTTCTCGTTTTTTTTCCAAAAAAATATCTTAAGTTTTTCGGATAAAATATATAGGATAAAATATAAACACTTACAACAATGAGGTGCTCGAGCTCGGCAAAAGTCATTTCTACAGGTCGCTCAACAGAGAGGCTCACAATATTCTAACGTTCTTTATATAATAATTATTTATTTACTAATATTAACCCTTTCGCTGTCTCGTGTACCACATATAGGTCATTGCTATTGTTTTACTATTGTGTCTGCAAACCGGACAGTGAAAGTGTTAAGGAGCCACCACGTAAACTTTTTTCTCTGTTGAAGAAAGTGACCACCTGGTGATTTCTGAAATTAAACATGAAATTATAACCTTTTTGCCAATGTTCAGTAATTCAAAGGATATGTACGTTGTTACCATTTAAAAAAAATTCAACTTTCAATTCTTTGTCCATAATGCCTTGTATATTTTGATGCAGGTGTAAACAATTTTTATTTTTATTTGTGGCTGCATTCAAAATTAATTAAACTCTTATTATTGCTACAGATTGCCTCTATAGTCGCATTCACAATTTAAATTAGTTGGAACTGATTCCAAATTAAATGTCAAATGATTATGATGCTCAATAAAAGCAGTGTTAGTAGCCAAAAACTTGGCTGAGTTAAAATCTTGGCATAGTTGCTATAGTTTTACCACAAATCAATAAATTAATCAGTATTTTCTTAAATTATATGCGAGTGAAACCGCGGGGCACGACCACTACCTTACATATGGACAGATCTTTCACAGGCTCGTTAAAATAATTAGCACATTTGCTACACGCGAAGGATAAAAAATGAACAAACATAACATTTTTATATGTGTGTTAATTTAAAAACACTTATAATCCTTTATCAATATTGATAAAAGTAACAACATATAAAAGTAGTTGTTTTGAAGCACGACCCAAAAACACAAAATGTTTAGGGCGGTGATAGTGTCGTGCTTGTTGGGTCTGGCGATCGCCACACCGGCTGTGGTGAGGACTAGGGAGGAGATCCAAGCTTTCAGACATTTCTTGGAAAGCACTAAAACCAGTAAGTACAGTAAAGTTACATCCTATATAATATGTTGGTGAACTTCACATGTCCTTGAAATACATTTATTCCTCAGATTCAGGTCTCTTTAAATTTGTTTAAATTTAATTTACTTTAAAACCAGTAAGTACTCAAGCAGAACACAAGCGTTATGAACATCAGTATACCAGCCCATATAGAACTTAGAGTTCTTTCTTACTCTTCTTATTCAACTTAGTGTTGAAAAGAGGTTCTATCCTTATAAGAGTGATTTATGAGTTCAAGCTGTATAAAGTCTGCACATAGAACAGCTCAATCTCACTCAAAATCTCAAGTGTCCGGGAAACGACGCTGCCACATTCGGTCTTTAGCTTCGACAGTGGACTATTTCTGGCAGACAGATCTCTGGCAAAGACTTTGGAGCCCTGGTTCCGCTTGATTGCTTCTACAATACGAGCAGTATTAAAATTGCGCCAAGTCCCGCCGCGTGCATTTGGAGATCTGTCTGTTTAGTAAGTATTGCTGATCAACAATAATTTTTAAAAGGAAAATGATAATTTGCGTCACTTGTAAGGGTTGTTAAAAACTATCTAACTTATGAACGTTAGGTACTACAAAGGTACAAAATTGACATGCTTTGGGCTAGACCTATTTCCAATAGTTTATGTAGTAAGCTTTTTTGTAGAAATGTTTGTTCTAGCTTGGATTCAGAAATAGGTGGGGCTCACTTATGGGGTTATTCAAAGTACCGTATATTAACTTATTTTATGTTCCTGATTATCTTCCTCCCCAATGAGAACGAGGGAATAGAGAGCACAGCTTTGTTTGCGCATACACTAGTCGGTTGGCACTGGGCACCGTGACCGAATTTCAGTCTAGAGGATATTAGTAATCCAAACACTGTGATACTTGAACGTCATTTTATCTACGAAAAATAAGACTAAATTGCAATAAAATGTAAGTTAATTAATATTAAAATTCTTTATCGTGTCATTAGGTGATGGCAGTCAATTCATCGCCAGAACCAAGGCTTCACCGCTCGCAAACCCAGAGGAGAACAGCGGCAGGTACCAGGGTGATATAGTGCTGGATGACTTCATAATCGATTCGATGATCAGGGAGTATGCAATGGGAAGAAACGCTTACATCTGGCCTAACACTAAGTGGCCTAATAACACCGTTGTCTGGGAATTCGGAGAAGATGAATTCGGTAAGTCTATTCGATTTTTTTTTAAATAGCAAATAGCTACTCTTTAACAAAATTTTTTTTAACTGTCTTCTGTAGAAGATATCACATACTGAGTATGATGATAATGTTGTTGAATTCCTGATTTCCTTCCTTCTTTTTCTACCGAGTGCAGAAAACGAAGGGATTTTCTTCGATGCGGATATTTTTTTTTGTATTTTCACCTTAGACTAAGATTTTCATTCATTTCTCGGAAATGGCTGAATCGATTTAAATGATTCTTTTTTTAGGGTTCCGAACCCAAAGGGTAACCAACGGGACTCTATTACTAAGTTCCCGCTGTCTCTCCGTTCGTCCGTCCGTCCGTCTGTCTGTCAGCGGGCTGTATCTCATGATCCTTAATAGGTAGACAGTTGAAATTTTCAGAGAATATGTACTTCTGTTGCCGCTATAACAACAAATAATAAAATAAAAATAAATTAAACAATTAAAGTGCGCTCATCTACTAGAAACGTGTGTGATGGTATGGAAAACTTCATTCGCAAGTACGATTCGCACTTGGCCGGTTTTTTTTTAAAATTAATTAGGTTGTACTTCAGGGGTGGTCCCATATTAAAAGAAAAGGTAAATTTGAAAAAAAAAAGAAAATAGATAAAGGAGAAAGGAGTTCACTGATAAAGCGGCTACTGTAGTCCATGTACACTTAGTTCTAAATTTAGTAAATAATTTTAATTTAATTGTTTATCATACAGGGTATATTTTTCAGAGTAGCCAAATTTTAAACTTAAGTTCAAATATATAAATAGATACAGAGTGATAAAGAATAGATTAGCTTAGGTTTTTCTTTTATTTCACATATTTAACACTTAAACACAATGGGAATAAAGTTATTTATCAAAGATAAGGGAAGGAATCTCCATTGCTGCTACTTAATACTGCTAAGTGGGTTTTTTCTTCCTTCACATTTTTATACTAGTTAATTTTAGACTTGGTACTTTATTAAATTATTGTATTAAAACTGATTAACATGGTTACAGGTTAAATTTGGTTATATCAAATTGCTCAACAGTACGGTAGCAATATTCATATAGACCATAAGTAAAGAAGTTTAAATCAGTGTTAATTACATAGCCCGATTTGAGTTGTCATTATTCATATTGCATTATAAATGGTGCCCTAATTAATTACTTGGTCCACAACATGTACAGCAGATGTTGCCAAATCAAATTGTCACTTTAGATTTGAATAAATATAACAAAAAAACCGTGTTACTGAAGTAGTTCAATAATAAAAAAGATTAATTTATTTAATCGATCATGTTTAATTATCTTATAATCAATGAAATACCTACTGATACACTTTAATCCAACTCAATAATCACTGGTCATCCATCATTTTATAGTTTAAATGTTGATATTATTACATATCTTTATATATAAAAATCACGTGTCACGTTGTTTGTCCGCGATGAACTCCTAAACTACTGAACTGATTTCAATGAAATTTTGCACACTGTGTGCAGTTTGGTCCAACTTGAGAGATAAGATAGTTTTTATCCCGATAAGTGACCCTCAATTTTTTTATTGCTAATCTCAGGAGTTTTTTTAGGAAATCAAATGGTCGTCGAAAAGGGCAGAACAACGTCTGTCTGGTCAGCTAGTATTATTATATATAATACACATATTATGTACAAATAGGTGCATCTGACCATGTACCAAATATTAAATGAAACTACTTTTACAGATTTTATCACGTTTAATTGTACTTATTTTTAAATACCCGACGTTTCGAGTGCTTTCCAGCTCACATGGTCACAGGGGCTGAGGTGATCGACAATGACAATGTATAGGAACTTTTCACTTTATTGTTAGAAGTCAGAATATGTCAAAAAAGGCACGTTCACAGTGCTGTGTTAATCTCTACCTTAATTCAAGATGAAATTTGGGCGTGGCAGAAGAAACACAAGAGTAGAAAAAATACTGTAGAAATGTGAGCTAAGCAGTAAGCGGCGGGGATACGAAATGCGGTCATTCAGTCAGTCAATGTAAGGGTGACTCTTAATGATTGGGTAAGAAAATGATTTGATAGGAGAAAAATATGGTTTGCGAGATGATGTTGTGATCAATATTAGTAAAGGCATGCGTCGTTAGTTTGGTCGTGTATGTAGAAAGAATGAAATAGTGACAAAGCAAATTCATATTGCAAAAGTGAATGGCAGAATCAGAACTTAAACTTAAACTAAACCGAAGTAGCGAAATTTTGAAGGCCACCCATATTAGGAGTACCCTTAACCGATGAAAACTTGCTTAAGTATATGGATGTAAATGAGGCGTGAGAAGTGTGTCAGGGTTGTGCCAAATGGAAGTTCGTAGTCTATGCCTACCACTCTGGGTGACAGGCGTGAGTGTTGTAGATCCAGCTCTCGCCTTACATGTGGTCTTACGATATCAACACAGCTCAAATCAAATATATTGTACAGATTACTGAAGGTCTCACATTTGTGTGAGTACCTGGTAAGACTACAGGAAGTCAATGGATGCAGGTGGCTCGAGACCGTGCTTTGTGGTATTCCTTGGGGAGACCTACGATCAGCAGTGGACTTGTAATGAAACTGATGATGATATAGATGAGCATTTATTAATGGATGCAGCCTAAGAGAAACTATCACCACGAATCTTCTCACGGGTGTCGTAAGAGGTGATAAAAGAAAATTAAAAATGTAATTTATGGTGGTAAAACTTTTAATAAAATGAAAAAATACACTTAAAAAAATTTAAATAATACGGAGATTTTTTTTCGATATGCCTATAAAGCCTATGATTTACATACCGGCTTCATAAGGTATTATGTGGAAATTATTTCATTCTTTTTAGTTTTAGAAGTCGATTTTGACTTTTTATTAAAAGCTTAATTAACTTATTTGGTTGTATAATGTATACACTGACTTATGACGAGGTTGAAAATCTTTTAAATAGAATTGTCTGAAATCTATCTCACCAACATCTTATACATATACAGGTAACAATCTAACAGTATGCCGTCTTTCATATTTGATCAGTAAAATTTTATTTTGCAAGGCAACTAGTTTTCTTACTTATACTTTCTTCATCCACCAACACATACACACGCACCCCCACATCATACATACAACAACACTCCCACACTCACATTCACACACTCCTTAATATACACATACTAATTAAAAATTTTCTAGAGGTTAAACTTTTTGTAATCTTACTTCCAGAAAGGAGACGGTACTCAATTCGACTGTATGTTTTTTATGTGTACCTCATAACCTTTTACTGGGTGAACCGATTTCGATAATTCATTTTTTATTTGAAAGCTGGTACTTCTCGTGTGGTCCCATATGAATTTGATCAAGGTCAGACCAATAGTTTTTAAGTTATTCTTTATAACTTATATTGAAGTCGGCTGTACAAAATTTTTAATTTTAAATTATTTGTAATCCTTAAGGGAAGTAGCGGGACATTCCCAACACGAGTATCCTCTGATTACTCATTGGGAAGTCTAAGTATTATGTTCTTAACAATAGTACCAAAATAAACGTATTATTTATTTATTTATTTTTTTAACATTTCACTTCTGTACATGGGACTCTCTCATTGTAGACAAGAATTTTAATTTTTTTAGTCACTCTCGGCAAGCGGATTGGTAAACGCAGTACCAGATTGCTCTTTGTCTCGGTCGGGGTACCTACTTACCTGACATCAAATCATGCGTTTAATTGTTTTAAGACTTTCATAAAATAATTAAGTGTATTATTAAAAAAAAATTAAGTGTATTTTTTAATTTTATTAAAAGATACAATTTTTACCTTTTTTAGTGGACTAAGGAATATCACAATTTCAAGATAACAATTAAAATGTCGTCTGAATAGCAGATAATATTAAAAACTTCACCGCTATATTTGATAATTAAATTTTCCAATATATATGCTTATACACATGTGAAGAATAACCTATTTAATATGTAAATAATCATTTAAATCAGTTCAGCCGTTTCCGATAAATCGATGACATCATAAGAAAACACGCGTCGAATATAGAACTCCCTCATTTTTGTTAAACTCGGTAAATATGAGTAGAACATGTGACGTTTTATTTATTATACGTATATAAAATAATTAACCTAATATGTACATCGCAAACTATGTATAAAATTTCATAAGATAATATGTTAGATGCCTTTCCCATTTTCCAGAAATAAATTATTTAATTAGAGGTTTACAAAGGGGATTTTTATAGGATAGGGTGACAAACGAGCACACAGTCCACCTGATGATAAGTGGTTGCAGTGACCCATAGACATCTACATCTACATTCAATAAAGAATCAAAATGCAGATGCGTCGTCACCCGAGAGGACTAAGGTGGAACGCCTCTTTTCCAGTAAAAAGGGTCTCCGGTTCTCTACACTCACCATACGAAATACAGCAGCATTAAGCTGCCATTTAACCATTTTACGCTGGTATTATGTGAAAGCGTGGTCCTTCCCCGGCCGAGCCGATCCATTCGTGCTACAACTATAGACACTACTAATATGGCAGCATGGCTCCACCACGTATAAAGCTATGCTTATGTATAGTCTAAGGTAATCACCTTATATTTGATTTTAATTACACCACTCGAGATTAGATTAGTGGCAATAATCTTTCAATGAAAAATTTCAGTCCGGTCCCCATAGTGATAAACATTGTCGACAAGCAACTTATCTCCATAGGTACTTATAGCCTTTAAAAATAATAAGGAAATAAGTTTTTCATAACTTTTGTAATCTTTTTTTTTATAGGATAGAGTGACAAACGAGCACACAGTCCACCTGATGGTAAGTGGTTGCTGTGACCCATAGACATCTATATTTATCCTCAATAAAGAATCAAAATGCAGATGCGTCGTCACCCGTGAGGACTAAGATGGAATGCCTCTTTTCCAGTAAAAAGGGTCTCCGGTTCTCTACACTCACCATACGAAACACAGCAGTGTTAAGCTGCTATTTTATGCTGATATTCTGTGAGAGCGTGGTTCTTCCCCGGTCGAGCTGACCCATTCGTGCTACAACTATACTACTAATATAGCTACAGCATGACTCTACCACGTAATAATCTTATATTTTTTGAACAATTTGTCATGATTATATTGTTATATATTGTAGTGATAGCTCAGGGGCGAAGGGCTCGCTGTAAATTTCACAGTACGGAAGTAATCCGGCTTCGATCACCAATGAAATTGTTAATTGCATTTAAGTGTTGATTTCCTACGCGCTCAAGGGTGAAGGAAAACATCGTGAGGAATCCTGCATGTCTGAGAAATAAGAAAAAAATAATAATTCGAAAACATGAGAAGTTCGCCAACACGCATTGGGGTACGCGGCGGACATTTCCTTGCCCTAAAATCCTCTCAGAAATGAGACGATGCCTATGCTGGGACGTATATAGGCTGTAGCTGTAACTTTCACATATTTAGTTAAATATGGCTGCATTATCAGCGGTTTACAACCTGCATGCGTGTTTGCATCGCTTTAAAAGTAGTGCAATACAATGATTATTGGACTTCGAGTCGGAACACATTAAGCGTGCCTCTATATCTCTGACGCTATACGATTCTACTACGGGAGTTTAAGTAACTCAAGGAACTATCTCTTCTTGTACAGAGATTTTTTAACAAATAGAAAAGCTTAAGGTATAGACGAAGTTATTGTTAAGTGAAATATGTTTGAAAAAAAAAGTCCCGCTGGGTTTCTTGCTGGTTCTTCCCAGGAAAATGACTTTCAATAAGAATTATGTAATAATCAATATTGAATAAAAAAATATTCTATTCAATTCTATTCTTAATATCAGATGACATTTACTATCTAACGGGATATTTAAAAAATGGTATTTTTATTTATTTCTTTTATTCATGGATCATTCCTGCCTGTACCAATGATTTTTCAGTTTGAAGTGCTGATTTTTGTTAAATATTCTACTAAGCCAGCGCTTATCTACGACGCTTATGATGGTAAGTGGTGATATAGCCTAAGATGGTGAAGCGCACTGACTTAACACAAGCCTATTCACTCTTGCCTTGAAGACACCCACTTCAATTCAATTCACCACGTTCCCGCCGGCGAAGGAAAATATTGTGAGAAAATCTGTGAATAAAATGTCTCAAGGACATGTAAAGTCCGACAACACGTGATGGGGCAGTGCGACGGATTAACTTCTCTATAACCATCAGAAATTAGAGAAAGCCTGTAACCAGCAGTGGGACGTATAAAGGTTATAACCTTTTTTTTCTATTTTAGGTCCCCTACAAAAGGAAGCTATCGAAGACGCCATTAAGGACATTGAGGAGCACACTTGCGTCAAGTTCCGTTACCGAGAACCAGAAGATACTGTGTTTGTGAGGTTGACTGTAAGTAATCTATATATCTATACAAATAAATAAAATTGATGTGTCTGTTCGTAATGTCAAACAAAAAACAAACATTCAGACCCGGAACAATTATTTGTAGGCCATACGAATACTTGTTCCGAGCGAGATTCAAACCCGCACTCATTAGCGCCACAACTAAATACTAAGCCACTGCTCCTCTGAGCCGTCAGCATTAAATCGATTTCTGTATTCTTCACTTTAGGTTTAAGTTTACTTCATTCTGAGTATTGCATAGATAAGAGTATTATGTTCAAAAATTGCTATAATAATAAACGATGTTAATTTTTTTGCATGTAACTGATGCTCCTGTGGTCCGTGATTTAATTTATTTACATTTAAATTTCATCGTATCATGAGTATAAACCTAGCATTCCATTCTCGTCCTCAGACAACGCAACGTATGAGATTCTTAATCGGGAAGAGCTGTTAGTGTGTATGTGTCACTGTATCCAGGTACCATCCGGTGAATTGAAAAAGAAACTAAGTCCGAAGACCAACAATTTGTATTTCGTCGCCACACGTGTAGTTTTGTCTGGGATTCAAAGTTTAAACCAGGGTTCCATGAGATAAATAGTAATTTTCTTGAAATTTCACGATATATTAACATCAACACAAAAATAAACATTTTAGCGTAGGTCTGATGCTTGATATGATGTAAAATTTTATGTCATGCTATGGCACAATCTACTTAATTTTTTATAACGAGCTGGCGTAAGAGAATCCATCACCTCTTTATCCTGAGGGTATAAGGGTGTTAGAGGTGAACTACCAGAAAAATCTTATAGCTTCCCATAGAGGACAGGACATAGTGATATATATTTATACGTTCCCTTGTTTAGGTGAGTCTTAAAATGCCTGGACTGGCGATGGGCAGCAGCGTGAAAGGTACCACATTCGTCAATCCTGCCAAGCGTGACGACAAAGGTAAATCTTTCCTATAACGGAAAAGACCCACGTTCAGCCGTGAACTTTACGAGCTGATGAAAAAGAAGTAATAAGCAAAGAGCACACACCAATAAATGATTCATTTGTTTTGCACCCGCAGGGTGGTTCTGGTGGATGCTTCGCTAACGTCGGCTACTGGGAGGAGCGTGAAGTTCACACCTTAAACCTGGCGCGCAACTACCCAGGCGTGGGATGCTTCCGTCACGCCACCATCGTTCACGAGTGGATGCACATCCTGGGCTTCTTGCACATGCAGTCCACGTATAACAGGGACGAGTACGTTCGCATCGTAGAGGAGAACTTACGTCCTGGTACGTTAGAAAACGGGTAGAGAATGGGCAATCGTTAATCGTTTGTGTTAAGTCTTAATCTATTATAGTATCGAGTATACTATTGGTAATATTGAACCTATCAGTAAAACCTATAAAGCGTTGTTTATTGAAGCGGCTCTTCACGTTGGCCAACATATTGGCGACTATGTTGGCCAATATATTGGCGACTATGTTGGCCAATACCGATGGCCATTGTGTAGTGCGGGTGTTTGTGCTTCACTTGGTACCTATGTATTGGAATGATGGCCCGCAAGTTGGCGAAAGATCCGTGTGGTGTCGGTTTTTTACAAAGGATTTAAGGGTTGTGGCAGAGTATTGGCCGCTGCGACCACACGTTGGGCGCACGTTTAGTTTGCTACGAGCATAGAGTAGAGTAATATATACCGGATGTTTATGCAGATATCGTATAAGATGGCGCTAGTGTCTTTGCAGATTATTGGATCCCTACCTATAGTATAGAAATGTACCCCCCTGGCTACGAGCTTCCAGAGTGATCGCATGCACCTGATTCAAATGTTATATTCACGCATCGTAACTAGTGTCTACAAAATGGTAGTAACAATAGCCGAAAATTATTTGTGGAACACAAGAAATAAAATTTCTTTTTTTGCATTTCTTTTTGATCACCCATTTCTTACACACATTCACGTAGTAGCCGTTAGCGCCTCAATATCCATTTTAATAAATTTATCCGTACATTGGCCTGAACCGAAGCAAACTGAACGACCTTCCAACGTGTGGACGCCAACACAAACTCTTGGCTAATATCTTTGTCAACACATTAGTCACTATGTTGGCCAACGTGAAGAGCCGCCTTCTTTTATAGTATTAGGGTGACAAACGAGCACACAGTCCACCTGATGGTAAGTAGTTGCTGTGGCCCATAGACATCTACATCTATCCTCGATTACGATTCAAAATGCAGATGCGTTGTCACCCGTGAGGATTAAGATGTAATGCCTTGTTTCCAGTAAAAGGGGGTCCGCCACTTTATACAACAAAACTGTATCACAGTTATGGATCGCGCGGGCACGCTCTGCCGGAACCGTAAACTCCGCCGTATCTGACACAATGACAAATGACAAATGACACGCACTTGAATTTTCATTTACGACAGTTACTGTTTTTAGGCGAACGCGAAATAAAGTTACATAATTATTCGAAATAAACTCACGTTGACAAGGTGTGCACATAAATAATTACAGCGTTTTCTTAGTTACATTAAACAAAATCAGTGTTGGATTGTTGAAAACAACATTCGCGGTTTACAAAACAAAGAACTAGTCCGCTCGCCCGCTTGCAGAAGACTAAAAAAGTTACGGAAAATTGACAGTAACTTAGTGCGCAGTACACAGATTAAATAATGTTTCTACGTAAACGGTAATGCCTATCTAGCAGTATTCATAGAAGTCTTTGGATACAACAAACGGTGGTATTGATAGTCCATTGATACTATCGATAAACTTTAGATTTTGCGGTAACACTAGAGCGTCCATGTTGTCTTCTATCCTTCTACCACTATCGATAAAAAGGCAATCAAAAGATTCCAGCTTTAATTGTGAAAAATCTATTTAGAAACTAACAAAGGATTGGAATTTTTCCGATGTTACTTTTCGTCGACGTATACGGGAGTGAATGTTATTACTGTGGGGAAAATATTAAGACAGTAATAAGATAAGTGAACGAAGTAGAAGCCTATGCCTTGTAATAGGTATAACGAAATTGTGCGTATGTGCGTGCACTTGCGTGTGTATAACATAATGCTTTGTTTAATTAGTTGAAACATCATAAAATAGAATTGAGTAATAGTTTTTGGAATTTATTGGAGTTTGCTCCTTAAGAATCGTTTCATATATAAAGCGCATGGTATATTATAAATAGATGGTGGTAAAATCAAGCGTTAACAAAAAGTGAAGCCGTTATGGTTTTCCTCTGCGCCACATACTCACGCACCTTATAGCGTGAAATGAGTAATGTAATAATATATATATTTTTATATAATATAATTAATGTAATATATTTTATCAAATCGATATCAATTGGAACGAAGTTCTTTATTGGATAGTACGAATTTCGCGGATGGGGGCTGGGCGAGAAAAAGTGTAAGATTTTTTTTTCAACAGGAACCGAGCACAACTTCGATATCTACGAAGCGGACCTAGTGGACAATTTAGGAGTTGAATACGACTACATTAGCTGCTTGCACTATGGACCCTACGCCTTCAGTGCTAATGGAGAGAAAACTATTATTGCTTTGCAGGTTCGATAATACAATTTTATTAAATATTCTGGAATTTCGTTTGTGGCTGTCTTTTCATTAGCTAATAATATTTTTTTATAGAATAATGGTGCCAAACGTGCAAATAGTCCACCTGATGGTAAGTGGATGCTGTCGCCCATAGACACCTACGTTTATCCTCCATAGATGTGTTGTCACCCTGGAGGTCTAAATTGTAATGCCTCGTTTCCAGTTGATAGCGTCTCCGGTTCTCTAAACTCACCATATGAAACACAGTTGCATTAAGCTACTATTTTACGCTGGTGATTCTGTGAATTACTTGTTATACACGTAAAAACAAATTGCTTCCTAAAAGTGAAATCAACTATTAGGTATTCAAGTTTAATTGCAGGACAGTAAGACATCAGCAGCCCAACTTTCATTTCTAATTAATTAAATTCGTCATGCTGGTTTCGTTCTTTTATAAAAGTAAATGTGACAAACGAGCATACAATCCACCTGATGTGGTTACTGTGATCCATAGATATCATCTACATCTATCCTCGATTAAGAATAATAATGCAGATACGTTGTCTCTCGTGTTAGTGAGGACTAAGATGGAATACCTCGTTACCAGTAAAATGGATCTCCGGTTCTTGTCACTCACTGTATGTAACACAGCAGCATCATGTTACTGTATGTAACACAGCAGCATCATGTTACTACTTTATGTGTGTGAGCGCGGTCCTTTACCGGTCAAGCCAGCCCATTCTTATTGTATCTCTACCATGAAATTCTTACCTTGCTGCGTAACTAGAGCCGAAAACAACGTGTTTTTGTTAGATTAATGATTGAAGCATTTTTTTTCATTCGAAAACGGAAGTATTCCCGCCTTGTCCCGCAAGGACGGACAGGTAAACAGGTTATCTCGCTCCTCGCGACTCGCACCGAATGGTGCATATCTGCGACCCTACCCTACCCCTCTCGGGAAAGTGTTATTTGAGCATCTAAGTGAACTCAAAAGTATACAAATATAAAAAAACTGTAAACTATTTTGTATTTTGTAGCTCTCATGGTTTGCCGTGTGACCACCACCGCGTAAGAAAATCCATCCCATGAGTCTCGTGGGTGGCGTTATTATAGTCTCACTATACGAAATAGTCCCACGTTCAGTAGTATTGTGGTATACTAAAATAAAGCGACTGACAAATATTAGGTATGAAATTTAAGAAAGAAATGTTGACCGTTTTACAGGAACACGAAGGTGAAATGGGGCAACGCGTCTTCATCACAGAGAGGGACTGGCTGCGAATCAACAGGCACTACAACTGTCCAGGCGCTTGGGACTAAAACATTTAGTTTTTTTTCAATACAAGCACTTTTCAAAACGTAAAAGCTGTTTTCATTTATTTTCTTTTTCTTTTTTTTTTCTTCGTTCTTTATTGTAAATTTTAAACGCCTTAATCTAAGATACCCTTAGGTTAAGGCGTTTACAGAAGACGTTTTACGAGGCGAGGAGAGGCATTGTTTTGGGTATATATCTAAATACTCTAGAAACCGATAAAATTTTATTTAAAACGCAACTGTGACATTCTCTAATAAAAATCTTCACCTTAGTCCCTATTAGCGACATCTGGTGAATGAAAGATCACTAGCATCACTGTTGAATTTTCGTTAGTTCTTAAAATATATGCCGTATGTGTACAAATTGAATTTAATGTAAATTCAACGCCTAAAAATACATAATAGTACCTATGATGCCTGTGCTTAAAATTTTATTTTAAATACAAGTAAGGGTGAGAAATAAGCGTAATAAAATTTGGTTATCCACAAAAACAGCATTTAAATCGTTCGGTTAGCATTCAAAGATTCTGTTTGCAATAAAAAAAAACATTCGGCAATTCTTGTTTCTCAAATAATCTTGACAATGTTCAGTAATTTAATAGGCAATAAAAATAGGCAGCTTCAGCTTACAATACTATGAGTTTGCCTAATAAACGGTCAATCTGCAATATAACTACTTGATCAGCAAGATTCACGATTGGTTAGCAAAGACTATGCTAACTCTTTAAATAACAACCTCACAAAAGTTAATATTTTGGTAATTTATTTGGTGCAAGAGCGAGCGAAGCGAGCTCGGGACTTGAGGCATCTCGACTCGGACAGGTTAGGTTACAAAATGGGATGGCATCCCCTTCGTGGTTATGTTTTTATAAACCACCCAGCAATAGGAACCCCGCTTAGCTCCAACGACTACACTTTGGTATTACTTCAGTGGACGGGGGGACACCCCCATCCCTCCCTGTTAAGGCGATTTTAATTTTAAACATTTAATATAAAAAAATACGCACCTCCGACGCGACGGGGAGAAAAGGTGGGAGCACAAAATTAGATTAGTTGCTTACCCTCTTAAGTGCTTATCGAAATTTTATAAACATGAGTCACTCATTGTAGCTTATATAATTCATATGCTGTACTAAAAAATTTACAGCCCTCCAGAATGTCAAAAATTGCCGATAGATTTAATATTGGTTGCTAGACATGTTTGCTGACCTATTTACTATTTTATACAGTACAAACTATATTTATACTGATTATCTATTTCTGCTGCTAGATTACATTTCCCTGCCGAAAAAAAAAACACTAATACTATGCTAACCCTTTAAATGACACCCAAATATAATAGATAGTGAAAATTAAAGAAACAGTATATTTACTATTAATTATTTACATATTTAAAAAACAAGAAAATACAGATGATTTGCCAATCCTGCGGACTAAGATGGAATGCCTCGTTTCGAGTACAATGGGGCTTTGGTTCTCTACACTCACCATACGAAACACAGCGCGTTGAGCTGCTATTTTACGCTAATATTCTGCGAGAACATGAACAATAATAACATAGCCACATGGAGCAATATGGCTCTACAACATAGATATAACTGCATTATGGCTCTACCACGTAGACAGCTACTACTCGAGTACTTATTAAAATACGATGAGCTCTGCAAATGTAAGAATTATTAATTAAAAAAAGTAAGTCAAAAAATAGATAAAAAAATGTTTTACGTCTCTAAATTTGTAACGCATCCAAATTTTGTGACTAAAAAAATCTATTTTCGCAACAAACGAATGACTCAAGACAAAAACTCTTTCAAGAGCTTCTGTTTTGCGGTCGGCTTGATTTCAGAGACGGCGAAAAGGATACTAATCAAATATTATTTACAAAACATACAAGCTGCGTTTTTTTTAAAGACTCCCCGAGGAGCAATGCGACCTCCATGTTTTCGAGCGAACATGTGACGCGTAAGTTTGTGCTTAGGAATACCATGTGCAATTTTTAAGTGCTGGACAAAAAAATAAAGAAAAAAAACCAACAAGTTAGATACGTTAATTTTTACTGATTGTCGCATTATGATATTTTCAATGGAATTCTAATTTTAATTTTTATGTTTTACTTTGACTTTTGCATAGCACGAATTTTTTTATATTTAGTAGTTTATAATAATTTCTAGTCTCCACTCTTTCGTTGTCGGCTTACCACGTATTCGAACCAAACTAAAGTTGCCAGCATCTGTTTCCATCCGATCACAAGGTGTCTTCAAGGCAAAAGTGACTAGTCTTTTGTTGAGTCAGTGCACTTTACCATTTTCGGCTACATCACTACACATCACACCATCTGGCGGGATAGTAGTAAAGCGCCGGCTTACAACAGTAAAAGAAATACTTATAGTATTGCAATTTCATTCATTAATTTTGTAATGGTCTACTCTTTTCTAATAAACCTAGGATGGGCAGGAGACAATTTATCCCCGGGGAAAGGAGAAAATGTTTATCCCATCGCTTAGTTTTATCCACCCTTCGAACATGGGCACACCGGTGGATATAATGTCCATAGTATATAAAATGCGAGATAGACTTAGATAGATTTTTATATGAATATAAACTTAAACCCACGTCCAATGAACTAGGATAAAATTGTTCCTTTCAAATGTCAAAAAAGTATAATTTTTTATCTTTCATTTGGCTCCATGCTACGGACGGGGGATTATGTCTACTCGTTATGTCAAACGGAGATATACTTCTCCCCGTTGCCGTGCTTTGGCATAAGCACAAGATGTTATCTCTTGTCAGTTCATATAATCCGGGGATAAATTTTTTGTCGCCAGCCCATACTAGCCGTTCTGAAGTGATACAGATACGTGGTCACTTCCGACGACGATAATAACGATTCTCTATACGCTTCAGACCGGAACGCAGCAGCGCAAGGATGTGGCTATTTTGCAACAGAAACAGGTAAAAGGGTGGTGCCTACTTACACGGAATAATTTTATTCGGTTGATATGCAAATTCTTATAGTTATGGTTTATCCTATACTTAGTTAATAATATTGTATTTCTACGTACATAATATATATAATTTAAAATTAAAAATTTTGTACAGTGGACATCAATATAAGTTATTAAGAATAACTCAAGAACTATTGGTCTGACTTTGATCAAATACAATATGGGACCACACGAGAAGTATCAGCTTTCATATAAAAAAAGAATCATCGAAATCGGTTCACCCAGTAAAAAGTTATGAGGTAACACACATAAAAAAACACAGTCGAATTGAGACAAATTATTTGCAACGTAAAGGCGGCATAAGAGAATCCATTTTCTCCATTTTTATCCCGTGGGTGTTGTAAAGGCGACAGAGTGAAATAAAACAGGTGATAGTCAGAAGCATCTTCATGATAGCATCAAAATAAAATAAAACTGCGTTTACCGGTCAGTCGGCCAAACGTGTCAACTATGGCAAATATACCCTCCGACTCCGTGGATGCTGAGTGCGATCATAGCCGGTGCCAACGTTAATGTTAAACCACAAATTATCATTTATCGGTTCTTATTTTACTGCGCCATTGATGGCTTCCGAGGTGAACTCGCGCATGAAGGGTTCTGTGCCATCGTAAGACACGTTTCTGGTAGCCCCTTTTAATTTATTTTAGTGTTTATTATTTGTTATTAGTTAGTAGTTACAGTGGCAGCAGAAATACACATTCTGTGAAAATTTCAACTGTCTACCTATTATGGATCATGAGATACAGCTCACTGATAGACAGACGGACGGACGGACGAACAACGGAGCCTTAGTAATACGGGCCCGTTGGTTACTTTTTGGGTACGGAACCCTAATAAATGAAAAACCCCTACTGCACCCATATATACGTACGACTCGTCCGGGGAAATTAAACAGCTTTTTTCAGATTACAGGTAGTCAATCGCTTAATTATGAGTCATCGTATTAGTGATATTAGATTCGATATCTACACGTTAGTAAAAATAAATTTAATAATAAGTAAAAATAAAATTTTATTTTTAATTTATATCAAAAAGCAATGACCGGCACTCGGCTCGCAGAGCTTGTTATGATTCTTGTTTGCGTCTATTGCTTTGCCTAGCTGTCCTCGATAGTCAAGTCGTGTGTACACTTTACGTACTAGACTGCTTTGATCTTAACGAATCATGCGCCACACTCTCGCTTGTCGCTATAAATATTGTCAGGACAAATTTCGACTCTTTGAAATCACCGGGTCGTACGACGAAGCGCCGATTTAATTCGATTTATTAGGTTTAAACTGCGAGAATGAATTAATGGCACACACCGCAATGAAGTTCTTGTTTTGATTGCTCGAGAAATCGATGTTGATCGTGAAATACGACAAAACATTATTTCATTTGGTGGATATGCAAATTCTTTGAATAATTTGAATTAGCCGTTTAGATTGTAAATAACATTTATGGTCGATAAAATTATTATTTTATTTCTACTTAAATTTAAAAGTTATAATTCTGCTGCTGGGCAAAAGCCTCTTCTCATTTGTGGGAGTGTTTTAGGGCAAGGAAATGTCCGCCGCGCTGTCTCAATGCGTGTTGGCGAACTTCATATTGTCTTCGAAATATATTTTTTCTTATTTATCTGACTTGCGGGTTTCCTCAGGATGTTTTCCAAGCACGTGGTAAATCAGCACTAAAAGTTGCAATTAACAATTTCATTCGTGCCGTCGGGGATCGAACCCTGTGCTCGCGTACTGTGAAATTTACAGCGAGCGCTTAGGCCCTGCTACCACGGCTCTATAGTGCTCTATTTCAACTTACAGAAAATGATTTGCCATGAAGCGGCGGTGTAAGATAGTCCAATACTCTCCACTACTCTGTATCATCCCGCAGGTGTCGTATGTATTACATAATATTTTAATTTTTTTTAAAGTTGTCATTGATTTTGCTTCTTTTATTTCTTTTGGAAGTTTGTTATACAATCTAGCACCTTCATACAAAAGACTCTTTGTACCATAATTTCTA